GTTATGTTATGTGTTCTGACTGCCGGCTGTAATCTTTCATGACATATAATAAAGGACAGTTGTCGCATTTGTTAAACTTTTTTAATTACTGCTTGTAAAATCACTGGAAATGATCTTAATGCAGAGTGCACTATGGGTGCATACAGACATTAGGTTTTTACTGTTTTTTATTTAATGTACAGTAGTTATTGGCCTCATTATAGATATCTTCCAATAGTGAATAATTAATTTTTTGCTCAAATCTGACTTTTTGTAAATCTGTGTTTATTTCACTGGAATCAGTATCATTGTGGTATATAATGTCTCATTTTCTGTGTTTCTTTTCTGTTCCTTTTCTCAAGACAAAATATGAGACATAAACCATTTAATTCAGAAAACTATATTTCTGAGAGAAAAGGTACACAATCTTATTGCTAATGCTAACAGAAGTATTGGTGGGCATCTCTAACTAAAAAGTTAGTTGCGCTAACTCTAAAGCAGTAATTATAAACATGAGTTCAGCAAACGCTGAAGCGCTACAAAATTGTGGTATTTTGCTGGAAGTCACAGAAACATAGAGTGGAATTTTTATTTTCCTCAGCATACCTGGTCTAAAAGTGTTCCGATTTCTGTTTTCTCCTGCACAGCCATGCTTGTGTCATTCGTGGGCAGGTGGTCACCTCTGACGGAACCCCGCTGGTTGGCGTTAACGTCAGCTTCATCAACAATCCGGCGTTTGGCTACACAATTACCAGGCAAGATGGAAGGTAAAAGTTGGCCGTTTTTATCTCAACACTGACCCAAACATCCACACAAGAAACAACAGATGCAATGTATTGATATTGCAATGCAGTGACATTCATGTTGTGAAAAATGTGATTTAGCTGAACTGCAGTGACTAAAAGCACAATCGCCGCCACAAGCTCTGCCGCTATTGATCTGCTTTGTACTTTTGCCGGGTCCAATTTTGGAATTCTCGGCTCAATTCCCAGAGAAATCAAACAAAGCCCGTCTGGTGCGCTCACAAGTTCTGATACGGTTGGAGCAGAGAGGTGGCAGCGTAACTCGTGCCAGCTCAGAACGCAGTGCAGATGGATATTATTTGACGATGGAGGAATCAAACAATGAAGAAATACTTGTTTAGTTGCTTAAGACTTTATTTCTTAATGTTTGTTTTTAATAGTTATTGAGTACGTTTAAAGGGTTGTTTTCTTGTGAAGACAGTCACTGTTTTAATTTTTATTTATTTTATGTTTCTTTGATAACTGAAGTGAAGATACAAACCTGCATGCCGATCAGAAGAGTAAAAATGGGGTGCACAAGTCACACTTTTTGTTTTCATTAAGAAAATTCTACATACTGGCTTAAATGTAAACACAGGCCCCACATAGCAAACTATACCTCTACCAAACACTTTTGGTAACCTTCATCAAGCTTCTGGCATAATTCTAGCTGTTTATTAATTTTTCTGGATGGAATTGTTGGGGTTTGTTTATATGCATTAGTTTATTACTGTAGACAGTGCACATATTTCCTATAGGGTTTAAATTGGACCATATCATGAACTTAATCTTGGTCTGCTGTGTGGAGTCATTGCTTTGTTTGAACTGCTAATTGTGACCAGGTTTGCACAGCTGGACGAAAAATCAATAACGATATCTATCGCAATAGGCACATGATCAATATCAACAGAATATATGTTTGAGAGGATGTTGATAATTTCACTGAATTCCAATCCAGAACCGAGTTCTGCAGGTAACTTAACTGAAATTAAAGTTAATTTAAGTTTTAGAACTGTTGTTTTATAATAATTCCTCCTTGGGAAAAATATGTCTCAATTAAATCACTAAAAACTCAACATCTAGCTTGATACTGATTAATTCCAGCAACTCTGAAAGCATTTTTGTTAAAAATGTAAATTGTTGTTTAGAAAGACCAAAACCTTTAGACTGGCTTGAATTTGTTCCATGGAAAAAGGGGGAAACATTGACATACAAAAAGCTTATAATTTTCTGTCATTTTATTTTAAACTTTGCTCTTTTCAAGCACACAGTTTAGGATCAGATTGCACAAGCTCCCTCAATCCCCTTTTATATCTCTGTTTTAGGAGGGCCTTGTAGCAAACGAAGCCGCTGTATCACAGCACAGCATGAATCTCTGTTCGCTCTCCAACTCCCACTTCTTCCTGATACTTTTATCAGCCTCATACTCTAAAGGTTTAGATCTGCCAGACGTTTGATCTTAATCATTCTTTTTTTCCATCACTCTATTACTCCCTTTTATACAGAAATATCTCATCTTAACCTCATCATCTTCCACTCCTTTACTTATTTTGTCTGACTTGCAGTTGCTCACATTTCCCCCTGTCTAGTCCTCCTCTACCCTGAAGCTTTTTTTTTTTTCTGGCCACCTTCCTTGAGTACAGGTCTATGTCCTTTCCACTGCCATGCCTCTTCTCATCTTTATCTTTCTCCCACATTTATGTGTGTCCCATTTTTCTCCATGCATCACTCAGCTTTTCCTGTGAAAAGCTTTATACTCCTTTTCCCCTACCAGCATATGTGTAAACACTACTCCATCTCCCTGGTTCCCCCCCTGTAAACATGTCCAGTCTCCTGCAACTACCCCTGCAATCACTGTAAACAGGCTCAGTGCAGCGTGAAATCAGAAACGCACCTGTTCACCCACTTAGAAATGAGAAAGCTGTCTCAACTCATTTCTGTGATGTGTTCTTTATTTTCAAAGGGTTTAGATGTTGAAATTACCCATTACCTATGCTATCTTGAAAAGTTGTTTTGGTCCAAACAAGAGATTTGTGCCTTTTTTTATTTATTTATTTTTAACTATGTGGGCTTTTTTTTTTTAGTATATATATGAGCAGAGCATCAGGGCAGTCCTGATTTTATAATGTATAAAATGCTAACAAGGATTATGTGATGAGTCACAACACAATCAAGATGAAACAAATCTGCATGTTGTTTATTTTTTTAAACCTGAACATATCACTGCCTTTACCACTGCTTCTCTGCTTCATTTAATCTCCCCATAGTCCTATGCTGCATCATTATCACTGTCACACGACCACAAATACCACATGGCTACATGACATAAATATCGCTTGTTAATATCAGCCACGTTTTACTGATCAGACATATGCTTATATGTTTAAAAAAAATAGTGCTGATATATTGTCGTCCAAGGGGGGCACACCCACCACTTTGAAAAACTGTGTTTTAAATCAAAATCACATTCATGTGTTGGAATGTCCTAGTCAAAGTCCAATTGAAAATCTTTCAGATGCTCTCTGAGCTAATTGGCAAAGCAGAGGCTGGTAGAGAAAAATCTAAAAAGATGTATGTTGAATACAAATCTATAAATGAGTTTTACTTATTAATCATTTTGAAAACTGTATAATATTTTCCTTGTATTTCACAACCATATACTACTTATATTGGTTTATTATTTGAAATTCCAATAATTTGAGTTAAAGTTTGCTGTTGTAACATGATAAAATGTGAGAAAAAAAAACAGGACAAGAGAATCATTTAATAAGGATTTGAAAGCCAAAGCTAGTAGGTTTCTAGGCAACTTTCTCCATTTTGTAACATGGTGTTAAACTTGATTGATAACATCTACTAAATCCAGTAATTGATTGGCTCCCATGCCCACGGGTGTTTGTCCACAAGTGTTGAGTGTGTGCTTAGCCTGCCTAGTGTCATGCAAACTGACAGGCTGCCACTGCCAGACCGCTCATGGGTCACGGCAATATGTTGGCACCATTACAACAGCTCTGCAGCCTCCGGACCGCTTTGCCGCTCACACCCAGCCAAGGTTGAACCGCAAAGTGTAGAACAAGCTACTTTTTTTTTATTTCTTTATCCCCGCAAACATTCAAATGCTTACCCTCAAGGGAAGCTTGACATAGCATATTCTTTTTATAGAACCTTAAACCAGCAGGGAGGCTGCCTATTTCAGAGGCTTCTATTTGGACCTACTTCTTTACCTGTAATTTAGCAAAGGTGCCTCCTGTGTGAGGATGGGGGAGGATATGGCCCCGTCCCAGGGGCCCCGTAGGTGACCAGGTGCTAATTGGTTCTTAGCGAGAAGTGACAGGAGCTGCGGAAGTCCAGCGCAGGTGCTGCCATGTTGTTGTCACGATGCAGCCTGTTTACTGAAGCTAAGGTCAGAGTGGAGGCACAGGGCCTTTTAATGCAACAGCAGATGGGATTGCATTGCAGGGCTTTTAGACTGATGTTAGCGTGGACAGGCTTCGTCTGAGGGATCAATAAAGCAGTGGCGGCTGCCTTCATCCGGCACTGCAAAGCTCTCTCTCTGTGCACAGAGCACAGCGTTCACACACGTACAGATGAAACTGTTAAATCTGCTGTTTTTCTTCCCTAAAATAATATATTCATATAGCTGTAGTGGAAAAATGTGATCTTAGGATTGTGATCAATATAAGTCCTATTGAATATTCAGCATGTGTGTGCCTGAGAGACTGCTTAATAATGCCTAATGCTGAAAATAATCCTTTCTTAATAGCCTTCATTTATAAACCCATTCTTTATGACTGTCTGCCTCATTGTAACCGCGGCGATATGAAAGACAAAATGTGAATCAGTTCATCCTCTCTGTTTTTCCAGCTTCGACTTGGTGACCAACGGGGGCATAGCCATAGCTCTGCACTTTGAGCGCGCCCCATTCATCACTCAGGAGCACACTCTGTGGTTGCCATGGGGACGGTTCTTTGTCATGGACACCATTGTCATGCGGCACGAGGAAAATGACATCCCGAGCTGCGACCTCAGCAGCTTCTCCCGGCCCGTCCCCGTGGTGTCCCCGGCGCCGCTCACAGCCTTCGCCGGCTCCTGCTCGGAAAGGGGGACAGTGGTGCCCGAAATCCAGGTGATGCTCCGTCTCCCGCCCTGCTCACTTCCCTGCAGGAGGAAACCTAAGTGGGTCTCTCCTTCAAATAACTCTTGCCTAACAGTTGGAAGAGGGTCGTAACATTATTCATAAACTAAAGTGGAAAAGGAACCATGGCTCGTGGCTGTACTGTCATTTTTATATCCCTTGTAAAAATGGCCGAATTAGCCAGTCTGTTCCTTAGCGGAATGGCGAAGTCTGGAAAAGGAGGGAATTTGGCTGAAACACAGAGAAGATGTTAAAGTTTGGATTAGCATGAAAAAAGAATTTTTTTTTTTATTTCCTTCCTTCCCAGTTTTTTCCTTCCTTTGTTTTGTCCTACCTTCCTGCCTTCTTTCCTCCTGTTCCTACCATTTTGTTTAGTTTTTCATCCTACATTTGTTTCATCCTTTGATTCTTTGTTCCATTTTTAATTTTCTCATCCTCCCCAACTTCCTACCATCATTCATTTAATTCAACCATCTGTTTTTTTATTTTTCCTTCTTTTATTTCTTCATTCCTTCCTTTCATTCGTTTCTCCATCCATTGTAATAAAACCTTGACTGAGTTCTTCTGCTGTTAAAATAACACATAAAAATGAATATAAAATTGGTGATTGTCAACTTTAACATGCTATTAATACATAATACTAAATATAATACATTTAGTACAGACAAATGTATTTTTAAACCGTATTCTCTGGACTATATGTCCCATTTTTTTTCATAGTTTGGATGCACTCAGGTTGAATTTATGTTCTGTTTTCCCCCTTCATGAAACTTTATTTGACTGAAGTGACTTGTAAATATGGTAGTTTCCGCAGCATGACTTTCTGTTTCTACTTGAACTATCCAGTAAAATTTGACTGGTAGAAACAGGTTGGAAAGGGGCAGCATTGTGCTACTGTCAAATGCATATATCCATAGAAATTATGTCTTTACTCTAGCATGTTTTCTGGCATTTCATCAAAATAACTTTAAACCATGGAAGTAACCCTTGAGTCAATTGGCTTACAGCTCCAACCAGCCCATGCCTTGTCGCGGTGCAGATGCCACTTGCAGGCTAGTGCACTCAGATAAAGATCACAGGCGGAGGGGACACACATTCTTTTAAGTGCTATGACAGAGAATGGGTAGATTAAGCTGCCTTTTAAAGCAGCACCGTGCAAAGTCAGTCCTCATGGACTGGTGTCCTGTGTGCTTTGATGTTGCCCCCTTTTACTCACACCTGAATCAAATGACTAGTTTTGAACTGAAAAATGTGCGAGCTCCTGATTAAAACGTCCACATTTTATGATCATCTACATAGGGACAAGTCAGCAAATTTGAGGTTATTGCTTTAACACATGCGCTCACCACTTTGCTACAGGATTTGCTTTTAAATTTCCCACCCACACATTTGTTTGTTGCTCGCCTACATCTGCATGTTTTGTGGGTGCAATCGCACACTTCAGCATGCGTGTGCGCCTCATTTTGTTTGATCCTGTTTGTCTGCAGGCATATCTCTGCCCTTTACTTCGCATGATTGATGGCATATCTGTAAATTTAGTATACAATTTAGTCTATTCATAGGAGCCCAGTGTTTAGAATTGTTTATGTTCTGATAGTGCCACACAAGGACATTTACACTTGCTGAAGTGAATTTTGATCAGTCAACCACAAATAGCTGCAATCTGTGAGCATTTAAAAATAAATACATCAGAAGTGACATGTCCTCTGACCAATGTCGCTTTGAGCAGCTGTTTTGATTGCTGCTCTACATGTCGTTTCGGGCTGTGGAGACAGGCGACAAGAGGCGATTTAATTTTAGTCCTGAGGACCAGGCCAACCAAACCATTGCTGTCAGTCCTTGAACTTAAGTCTGTACTCTGTGCAGTGCATGAAAGTGCTCATTTACAGCTTCTATCATCCAGCGGTTGATAAAGGTCTCATCTTGGAGTAAATTCCCTAAGGCAGCACTGTTATCTCTCACCAAGCTAAATTTATAACTAAATATGTTATTGTACTGAATAGACTCGGAGCCCAAGGGCTTCCTTTCTATGCTGTTGTCACATGCATTGCTGGGGGGACTGCTGTTCTAATGAAGCGCTTGCAGTTATTAAATCCGCTCTTAGAAATGCTCATTGGAGTATTTTTAAAGAAATCCTTCATCAGATACCATTTTATCCATGAGCATAATTGTCCACCGGTTAGTGTTTCATAACTTCCCTCGAGTGCCTACATATGGTTTAAGGCATGTAATTAAAAAAAACAAGACAAAAGGCTGACCAACTGAGTAACATTAATTATCTGTTTTGTCTGCCCGTCATTGTTTAGGTTTGGTACTGGTGTGCTACAAAACCAGAAAGAAACAAATGCAAACGGCAAATGTTAAGCACACCTTTGAGGATGAACTACAAATAAATGAATCACACTTGTTAATAAGGTGTAGAAATCACGGTTTTTCTGGTGGATACCAAATTCTGCATCCCATTTTGAGTAATTACACTTCTTTCTCTTTAAATGTGAAACATTAAAACAAAGCACAGCAGGTGTTTTAATAGTGGTACCAGTTGAAATCCAGCTATAAATGAGGGAATTATATAATATAATATAATATATAATGTAATATATATTTTTAAGGATTTGTCCATCTGATCACCAATCACAGCTGATCACTGGAATATTATGATCTTTGGTCAATTCATTGGTGGATCTATAGTTAGTGGGCTGTACAAACACAGCTTATCTGCTGCAAGGCAGGATTTGAACAATAATAATTCCCCTTTTGATAAAATGTGCCATCAGTGGTGGAGACACTACCACTAGTTTGCTCATAGTATAGCCAAGTCTATGTTTTGCTCTTTTGCCACGTTTGAACATTTTTAGTGGATTTAGCTTCATCTAAATGTTATTTTATGAATAAATTCTAAATCATTTATTTACTGTTTTTTTTTTTTCAAACTTTAAGTTGAGTAAAGTTCAACATCTGTATCTCAGGATTTGAAAGTTTATGGTTTTGAAAGTAGTAACACTTTCTGCCATACCATTTCTAAAACATAGTAATTTCAATAAGAGAAAATGTACCAGATGAACAAAGTTTAACACAACGCTTCCCCTCCCCAGCAGGTTTCTCCCAATTCACTGACTGAAAACAAAACTCCTTGTTGGGCTGCACATATGTTTCTGATTGCAAGAAGTATTAACATCTGTCGATTCATATAAATGTTCTTACTCAAGGAACAGTATATGCATATTAATTATCACACTAATCACACATACAGCATTCAGTATGTTATCTGAGCAGCAGGTGTTGCAGTAAGATAGAAACACTGCGAGACGGTAGGGATTTTTTTTAAGGTGGACATACTGGGAAAACCTCACCTTTGTCAATGCCTAACCTTGGCGTTTGATAAAAATACAATACAAATACTCCTGGTATGTAGCACAAACATGTACTTAATCTTAATTTGTCACCCACCTTTAGAAGGTTTTTTTCATTTCCTTTCCTTTAATAACCCGTGTGTTTTTTGCCCACAGTCTCTACAGGAGGAAGTGCACATACCAGGGACAGAGATGAAGCTCAGCTATCTAAGCAGCAGAACTCCAGGTTATAAGTCAATTCTGAGGGTGACCCTCACCCACTCCACCATTCCTTTCAACTTGATGAAGGTTCACCTCATGGTGGCTGTGGAAGGCAGGCTGTTCAGAAAGTGGTTTCCTGCAGCTCCCAACCTCTCCTATGACTTTGTGTGGGACAAGACGGACGTCTACAGCCAGAAGGTGTACGGCCTCTCTGAAGCCTTTGGTGAGTGATGAAATATATTTTTCATATGGTGTGGGTTTTTTTTTTTTAATCCAAAGCACATGTTACTCAGCCCTAGTTTCTCATCTTTGCTCTTTTTTTTTTGTAGTTTCAGTGGGTTTTGAGTATGAATCATGCCCAGACCTTATTCTGTGGGAGAAGAGGACTGCTGTACTACAAGGCTACGAAACAACCGCCTCCAAACTTGGAGGGTGGACAGTAGACAAGCACCATGCTTTAAATATCCAGAGCGGTGAGTCAACTCATTATTCCTTTGAAAGCTCCGGTTCTCAATGACTTGTTACTTATTACATCGGTTAAAAAGATCATTTTACCAATTTCACTCAAACAGCATGTGATGCTGAGGTTGAGGAATACATTCCAATATTCATCCCATTGCTACGAACGTATTATTTTTGGTTATTATTTGTTATTATTTTAAGCAACTCACTGCCTGTGAAAGTACAGCAAAACACCCCGAAGTCGTGTAAATGAAGTATTTTCAGTCTTTTTGATATTTTTTTGTTAAATGGTGACTGGAAAATCTGAAGGCCACCCATAATATTGACAAATTACAGTTCACACGTCACTTGGTGGACATTTTCAACTTTACGCACTGAGTACAGGAAACTAAATCAATCAAAACAACAATAAAACCTCTTTTGAGTATCATTTCTGACCTTAAGTTAATGCATTTCATTTAAGAATAGGTAAGTCAGAAAATCTGCTCTCATACAGAAACCCATTTTACTTTTGCTTTTAGATTTAATTTTAAAATAAAGAAAAAATTAAACTTTTACAGAAAAGAAGATGGATACATTTCCTTCTGTGGAAAGTTGAAATATATGAAAAAAGAAAAAAAAAGTACATAGTTTCTGCAACATTAGCATTAGTGTTGTCAGTGTAATTGTGTCCTGGAATATCAATTTAGTACATAAAAAACTGGTCAAGCCGACACTTGTTATGAAATTTATATTTAAAACATTATTTGATTCTTTATGATTTTAAGCCAGAGTTATTAACATTAACACAACTTTACACCATGCATTTTCATTTGTTTTTCTCTGTGCTGTATGTATTGTAGGCTTATTAAACGCGCCACAGAAGCCCGAGTCCGACCCAATCTGACCATCAGGCTAATAATTTTGGCCCAACCTGGCCTCAGTTTTGGCCAGGTTGGGCCCTGGCCATAAACCCTCTTCACATTTTGCTCATACAAAATAGACCAAATCAGCCACATGTGCTTGATCCAATGGTTTTGATGCGGTAAACTAACCAGCATTTCTGTTATGTGACTTTTTTTTCTCCATGCAGCTATGTCATTCAGCTTTAGTTAGATCTGACTTTCTATATCTGCCATAAATCTTCAGGAGGAAGTGGGTCAATTTCCTTATTGCCGACAAATTACTCCTCAAAGGCAGCGCTAGGAATACGTTTTGGCAGCACCTGTCACTAGCACGGCTTCACAGTCTGTTTTGCGTCTGGAGAGTCTCATCTAAGGAGATGAGGCATACTTGAAAATTGTTCAGAAAGGTGGCACTTTGATCTATAAGGCACCAAGCCTGGACATGGTGTCCAGAGGATGGATAGAAGTGCCTCCCGGCTTTTTAAACCAGCACTGCCAGTTTCTCCACCCTCACATCCCCTTCCCCTCCCGTGTTTGGCACCTCCGCGTCTCATCCATGCCCAGCATTTTTAGAATCATCCCTAATTTAATTGCTGTCAGACTGCTGCTCAGAGCAGCAGCAGTCCCAAAGATTAAATCACGTCCCAGGAAAGAGATGCTTGGCTGATCGTTTCTGATAGCCCACATGTTGTTCTGCTCTGAGAAGTCAGGTCACCGAGTGCCATCAGAAGCAGAAAAACCACCGCAGACATCCAGATGCTGAATTTCAAATATGATTACATTGACTGACCAGCAAGAACATCTTTACATTTACATATTTGGGGATTTTCCAATAATGAATTGGCACCAGCGATGTGAAAAATATCAAAGCTGTCCGTGCGTGTGTGTGTGTGTGTGTTTCTGAATCCTTGACTTTGAAGCCCCTGAATTTGGAGGTAGAGAAATGGGAACAATTCAGGTGTGTTGTTATTTTAGTCTGTGTGATTAAGATTGTGTTTGTGAGGTGTGTTTTTCTTGCTCCAAGAGATTTCACTCGAGCCACAGCTCTTGGTCCCCATTTTGGCGTGAAATTGTGCCTGTGTTTTCATCCACTGAGATGACCTCTTTTTGCAAACACAGACCCGCCTTGCAATTTCCACGCCTTTCGCCACAGATACAAACCTATTTAAAGTCACATCATCTTCTAATCTGTCTTCAATTACATTCTTCTTTTTACATTTGTGATCCGATCAAACTTTGCCGCAGTGTAAGATTGAGTCTAGAGGTAATAATTTCTCTTGTATGAGGAGGATAAATTGAGGTCCTTTGTATTGTGCATTTATATGACTTGCAGCTACCTGGCTGCTGTCTGTGACTGGGCAAAAAGTACAATTCCTTGAAGTTCACAAAGATCTGAATGACAAATAAAAAAAATCTAAGTAATAAATATGTGACTATGTGCAGAAGGTTACCTATATATTTCTATGCAAAACTGTATCGGTTTGAACATACTAATAATTCCTGAAAGACATTTTATTGTTCATTTTCAATTTCAATTCATTAACTTTTTTTCTTTAACTTAAAAAGAAAGATATTGCAAAAAAAAAAAAACTGATTAATTTTTGGATGTTTTATAAAAAAAAAAAATAGAAAACTGTTAGAGAATTGAGCTTAACAGACTTGCAGTTTTAGTTGCAGTGAAAATGTTGACTTAATACAAATTAATGTCAATCTTTTTTTGACTTACTGGAAAAACAAATTAACTTCATGCGTCGCTTTGCAACTCAACTCTGCCTTGTTTTAATCTTTGACATGAATCACAATAAAATACAAATGCAAGTTTGTGGTTGTTAATTTGGCAAAATAAAAAAAATATATAGATACTTTTGCAAAACACTAAGTATTATGAAAAATCTGAATGTATCCATTGACCACAGGGCTTTAAATTTGTTCCTCTTGTCAATCAATCAAATTTTATCTGTATAGCACTTTACAACAGTGACTACTGAACCGAAGTGCTTTCCATTAGTGCAGTAATAAAAAAAAGGGAATAGAATAAAAACAAACAAAATGACATTAGTAGAAACAAAAAAAGTGTCCCAGTGCTGCAATGTGCTGAAAGCAGTTCCAAACAAATGCGTTTTTACCTTAGCTGTAAACCAAAATTGGTCACTGATGGTTTGCAATTCAAAAGGTAATAAATTCCTAGGGACTTCTAAAAGATTTTGGTCAGTGAGTCAAAGAGCCCTGACTGGGCGAAGTGCTTATAGAAGATCAAAACAAAGGCGCAACGCCATGAGCAGCATTTAAAAACAAACAGTATCTTCCATTATCTTGTGTGCAAAATATACGCTGAAACGCTGCTAAGCGGAGAGTGCTTTGCAGGTGTCACCTGTGTGTTTTCTGTGTCCTCATCAGGCATTCTTCACATGGGCAATGGAGAGAACGTGTTCATCTCCCAGCAGCCGCCCGTAATCGGCAGCGTGATGGGAAACGGGCGCAGGCGCAGCATCTCCTGCCCCAGCTGTAACGGCCTTGCTGACGGAAACAAACTCCTGGCCCCCGTGGCTCTGGCTTGCGGCTCAGATGGAAGTCTGTATGTGGGCGACTTCAACTATGTGAGGAGGATTTTCACCACAGGGAACGTCACCAGCGTCCTGGAGCTGAGGTAACAGAGGAGCAGCCTGCTAACATTCGCTCAGGACTACGAGCAGCTTAAATGGGCTTATACGCAGGCTATAAACTACCTAGTGCAATTGAGATAGACAGAAATGCCCTAAAGGCAGAGGATTGATGGTCTGCCACTTTTATTCACCTGCATCAGCTGGAGTTTGGTCCTTCAAAGGACCTAAAAAGGATGTAATAGGACTTCAACAGATGATGTCCTGGAAACAAGACAGCAGTTTCTTCTGCCACTTAATGTCTTCACAGATATAGATAAAAAGAATGTTTATAGTCAGTTTTTTCTCTTGCTTAATTCCATCCACTTCTTTTTGATTTTTTTCTACTAACAACTTACCTTTTCCTCTTCTTTCTGTTCTTTCCTCTCTCACTTTTCCTGCTTTTTGCTAACTTTGAAAGAAATAAAGACTTCAGGCACAGGTAAGCCCTACATAAAAAATTTTACCGTCACCCTGTTTGTTGTTACAATTTCATTAGTTGTTTGTCTTTGTTGGAATCTCAATTTATGAACAGCCATCAACATTTAAGAGTGAGCCAGTTTATTAGGTACATCTGGATACAGTTTAACATACCCAAAGGAGAACCAAGCTTCACGTTTTCCCTTTCTACTTTGTCTCTCTTTAAACAAGCAGCTGGTGTAAGAATGTAGCCATGAAGGAAAGCGTTTAAAGTTCAGAATTAATCAGTACAGTGTCCTTTTATTTTTGTTATGCATATATCTTCCAAATAATATCACAACTTAGGTTTGTACAGTTGCATCTTGTGGTGCATTCACAACAGAAAAGTCCTTAGATCTGCAGACTTTTTTTCCCATGTGATGTTTTTCGATTCACATTGTGCTTTTTTGCAATAAGACTTCAATTTGTAAACAAAAACTACCTGTTGTGCACAATTGTGCCACTATTGCAACAGCAAAATTATTTTTAATGTCAAGAGCAGCTCATTCAATGCTGTTTTTGTGGTGAATATTTCTAATTGTGGAACAGTGCCAGCTGAATGAGTGTGCCCTGACCCTTAATATGCTGGCAGCAGCATCGCTAAGCAGAAAACAGCAGATCAGGTACAGTTTCATTACAATTGCTACATGCAGCAGTAGCGTTAGCAACACTGAACGGCACATTTTTACGATAATGCTCACCAACAGAGGAGCGTAAAGTCAAAAAGACATACATTTCTTGTAGTTGGTTCAGATCAAGACTAGACTGCATCAGAGTTTGTTTGGAAGTGGACAAAACCGCCTCAAAAAGTGGGTCTCGGTCCAGTTGTTTGGTCCACCCCTGAGTTCATATGAGTGGATTCACAACTTCACAAAATATCCGATCCGACGGGGGAAACAAACTTTGATCTGATTAAAGTGGACCAAATGTGTCAGATATGAGGACACCTTTAAACGAGCAAGACTTCTGTAACATTGAGCATTGTAACAAAGTTTAGTGAATATTCTGCACAAATGTTTTAGACTAACTATCAAGCACAGCGGCGGAAGAGTGATGATTTGGACTTATTTTACAGCCACATGCTCCGGGTACCTTGCAGTATCCAGATTTAATTTTTCTTTATTTTTCTCTGTCGATGAGTTCTTATTTTCTCTCCCACAAAATCTCTGCGCCCTCTTCAGATATTCTCAGCCGGGACTTTAGTGAAGCAATGTCTGCAAATCGCCAGATAACTTCTACAAACACCTCCTACCATTTGTTGAGCACAGTGGATGTGGGTTGATGATATTGCATTGCCTGATAGCCACTGATTCAGTGTAGTTCTCAGTCTACAAGTCAATTTTCAACTCCGCAACCAATGCATTGTAGAGTGAAGCCATCCGTCCACCAACTGAAGATCATCCACAGCTGGTTTTTTAAGCATTTAAGTTTTTTTTATGAAAAAGGCTGGGTCAAAATTTCGAACTTATAAAACGATTCTTTGTTTAATCCAAGTGTGGAAATGTAGAATCTACTGACCATTTTTTGGTACATAAAACTGAAGAATTAAAACCAGCTGTAGTTTCATTTTGCTATATCTGCAGATGAGTCCAATAAACTATAGGTAAAGATTTTATCAGTAGCTTAAGATACAGACACCTCATTTTCCATGGCAGGATGCAACGAGGGAAATCTCAGCATGCCCTCTTCAGATGCCGTGTCTCAGGTGAAGGGCTATTGATTGATTTTCTGTCCAAGGGCCTTGACTTAAGCTCTGTAGAAATGAAGATAAAAGGCAATGCAATTCTGGTCACTTGCTCTTGTTTTATATTATTATTCTGTCACTTTATTTCTCAATTTCTTTTTTTGCAGGGGTTAAATGTTATTTTCCTTTTTACACATTAACTTATACATCATACGTGAGCTCTGCTCGCAGGAGCTCCACTAAAGAGATATCAGAGCCGCAGCCCTTTAAACTCTGTATGCTACATTTGCAAATTAAAAAAGGAGATTTGTCCAGGAAAGGTACAGCAAGAGTTGGTGTAAAATGGATGACCACTTCTTGTTCATGTAATAGCTGGCGATAGGATTGGGAATTGGGTGATTTAGCTGTAGTTCTCTAGTGATCTAGCTAATCCTCTCTGACCAATTCCACAATAGCTTGCAACAAAATCCAACGATTTTCCACAAACTATAAGTCAGTGACTATAGATGGTATATATAGGTCACAGCTTAATGTTACGCCAGGGAGCCAGCAGTGTTTTACATGCAACTAGAAGCTTGAAGGTAATTCACATATCAGAAACCACTTACTGAAATTTACTACAGACCAACAGTATTGAGTATTCAGTGTACAGGTACATCTCAAAAGCTAGAAAATCATTAAAAAGTTGGCAACAAAACACAGACAGTAGAGAATAAGAAATAAATACAACATCTGACGACATTGTATAGCATGTACATTATAATCTTAAAATTAAATTGAGCTTGAGGGTTGCAGTCTTTCAAGCACAGATATGATTTCAATTGATGTTAGCACATTAGCATTAGCTTCTGCTAACTTCCATGTCAGTGTAATGCTTTAACATTAGCGGAACTACTGTTTTCGAATAGTGTTTTAGTTTACAGTGCCTGCCACTGCTGTGTGGCAATGGTGTTAGATTTTTTTAATAATTTACTTTTAGTAGGCAAAACAGTTTGAGACACAGAGTACTTTTAAGTGTTTATTTAATATTATATTTATAGTAGGTGCTTGACAGAATGCAGTAAATTTGAGTAAACTCATTCATCTTTTTCTTTAGAATGCCATTTGACCATCTTTATGTCAGAAATTGTGATACAATCTTAAATCTCATTTTACCATTAATTTAAAAAAATTAAGCTAAAATATTTTGGCCATGCCAACTGTACCTATTGGAGATTTTCTAATTTTCTCTGAAATAGTACAAAAATAGTTTTTTTTTTTCCTTAGCTTTGAGACAATATAATCACTTACACTAATCAAAATGCATAATTGATATATTCCTCTTTGTGTATTGAATCCATAGAATATGATGTTCATTTTTGGAATTGGGTTTTATTAAAGCAAAATAACTGATCTACTGAGATCCACCTATATTCTCTTTGCCAGCACATTGCATCTGACTTGTGTTGAAAAGCAGCCAATGAGTCGGTTGGGTCACTGGTCGTGTTTCGACACATGCGCCTGAGGTTTGCTGTCACCACTGATACACTGAAGGTCAAGTGTCATTTAATATTATGTACCCGAGATGACAATAGCACAGACCCACTTGCCTTCCCTCTTGTATTTTAGAAACATAGGCTAGCAGTGCTGTCATGCTAAAAGAACCCCCAAGGTTGAACCTGAAATACTCTCTTAATCCACTTTGAATGATGCCAAGATGACAGGCCTCTCCACAAAGCTCATCGGTTCTGGCAGAATTGTGCCATATGTTGACAATGATAACTGTCAACATGTTTAATGTTACGACAAAAATTACTTTGCTGAACACTTTAAAAAAAAAAAAAAACATTTTAAGACATAGATTCACAGAGAAATATTTTCAGTTCATCATGATAGTTGTTTAGCTGTGCAAAACGTTAAACCAGCAAATATTTTTGCACCACTCAGTATTCACTCATGTCAAGAAAGAATATGCTTAAATCAAAAACTCTGTATATACTGTAAAAGGCATTCAGTTTGTAGTGACAGTGCTACCACATTTATTGGCACCTGAAGAAAAGCCCTTTGGGAAAAAAACTGAAATTTTTCTATTTTATTGGTGTAGCAAGAATAACAAAATTTTGAAAAAATATCAAGTTGAAAGTCATTCTTATTCAACACTGTTATTGGTACTGAAAACCAATAACAAAACCTGTAAAAATATATGTTTTCACATTTTTAAGTTGTTCTTTGTATCAATAACTTATTGTTATAAATGCCACATGATGCAGCTACTTATTTCTTGTAGCCACTGGGCTTAATGAGGACCCATTTTTATAGTTTGAGAGCAAAATGGAAGGAGAGATGAAGGAATCATCAAAGCTTGCTGCCAGTTCAGTTACCACGTCTCCATAACAACCATTGTATGTCGCTACGAGCAAACTTCTTAAAAGCTGTTCAACAAATTTGCTGAGGCGCATCAGCACACTGATGACATTAAGTTGCTGTCAATAAAAGAAAGCCACATCATTTCATGCACCTACAACAAGGTCATTGGAATTTTGTACTACAAACTCACACAAGTCTGTCGAAGGTTGTCAGGGTAATATTGAGTTTTTGGTGACAAACACTTCCTGGACCACCGTCATGTTTATCAGGGGATACGTGATTCTGTGGGCCTGTTTGTCTTTCAAAGTGCATCTTTGAGCTACCAGAAGATTTTAAAATGGAACTTGAGTGACCTTTACCAGAAAACTGAAAATTAATCACAGGTGGGTCTTTCAACTGTATACTGACCTTTGGCCAAACAGGTGATCAAATCTGCTAAATAAAAATTTCCCCATACAAAACTTTACCCCTCTTCAGTGGCCTCTGCAGTCCCCAGACATAAACGCAATAGAAAACCTACAAGTTCAGCTGAAGAGAGCATAAGAAAGGACCCTGGATGATTTCAAGAGATTACTACTGCAAAAATGAATTTATTTCAAGGCTTTTTACGCATCTTTACCAGGGGGGAAAATAAATGTGGCAGGCGAGGTATGTTTTATAAGTCAGAAAATATCCATCGATTTTTCTGCAGAGGCTTGCATCTATCACAGAATGCAGGAGATTTAACAATAAAACAGCCCTATCTGTCACCTCATTTGTCCTTGTATGGATTCATAAACAGCTCTCTTTTGCCATCTTTGTTTTTCACCATCTATCTTCATTTTTGGAAACCAGGAGATTTTATGTATCTTGGCCATGTTTGGTTCTATTGTCTGTATGTCACTGCTGGAAATCTTGCCAAGCTTTAAAGGATTACTTTGTTGATTTTGCTGGGAATTACACAGGATATGTTTCTGCGTAAAGATGTCTGCCTGATGGATGCCTAATGTCTTTGGATCTTTGGTATTTGCTTTTTACCAAGAGCAGCAAGGTAAAAATAAAATACAATGCATTTGTATTTGAAAGAGTAACCAGACTGCTGCGCTGCAATGGCTGGTTTCCCTTCGTTGTTTTCAGACTAGATAACAGGAATTTTCTGTCTTTCTTTTGGGTAATAATTAGGATTTCTGTCAAAGCAACTACTGGACCCAAAAGACTGATACCCGTCCAACTGTTTCTTTTCTTTGTATTCTGAATTATGCTTGAACTGTGTCATTGTTACAAGTAATTTGAAGGGGACAAAAAGGATGAAAATCTATTTTTATGGTGCGTTTCTGTTGTTCAGTTTACAAACAGAGGTCCTTGATTCAGACTTTATTGTAGATGACTCTACGCCTACGTCACGTTTAATCTCATTTCACTTTGTCATGTTTAATCTCATTCTGTTTTTTCGTCTTTCTGTGTCCTGGTTTTAAACTGTAATTGTGCCCAATTGACTCTATAAATGGCTTTTGAATCCATTTTAATTGTATTACACAATGTTTCTTATTGAAAGCGATGTAGCTGCTTCCAGTTTTATTGACTCCTTTCCTCTCCCTTCCCTTTGCCCAGCAACAGCCCTGCTCAGAAGTACTACCTGGCCTCCAGTCCTGTGGACGGCGCCGTGTACCTGTCCGATACGGGCAGCAGGAAGGTGTTCAGGGTCAAATCTCTGACTGTTGTGAACAACGTTGCTAAGAATCTGGAGCTGGTGGCTGGAACCGGTGACCAGTGTCTCCCATATGACGACGCTCGCTGCGGGGACGGAGGGAAAGCTGTTGAGGCCACTCTCACTAATCCCAGAGGTAATGTTTCACCAGAGCTGGAATGAATGATCAAGGTGCCTTCATTGATGGGAAAAGCATGGAAGAGTCATTTTCTGATCTCTTCCTACCATTTTGTTTAGTTTTCATCATGTTTGTTCCTTCATTCCTTCCCTTTTTTCTTCCTTCCATTCTGTTTAGTTTTTATTTGTTCTTTTGTTACTTCAATCATTCTTTCTTTCTTTCTTTCTTTCTTTGTTTCTTTCTTTCTTTGTTTCTTTCTTTCTTTTTTTCTTTTTTTTTCTTTCTTTCCTTCTTTCTTTCTTTACTTCTTTCTTTCTTTGTTTCTTTCTTTCTTTCTTTCTTTCTTTCTTTCTTTCTTTCTTTCTTTCTTTCTCCTGTCCATCCATCTTTCCATCGTGGCTGGGTCCATATTTAAAACCTACTGTAAAAGTATTTTACATAAATCCATCATGATTTTCTGCTTTTAATTGATAAATTGTAACAAATAACACTATAAACTTTGAATTTAGAAAGTCACTACATTTTACATGAAAGATTATCTGGAAGACTAAATGTAATGTACAGAGTTTTAAATCAATCAATTTTTTTCCTTTAGTATGAAATGTGTCTGTTTCTATAATTAAAACATACATAAACTCATATAGTATGTTACAATTAAAGTAGATTGCACCAGTCAATCAGCCAGAAAGCAGAAGATGCATAAACCTCACTGCTCCAGGTTTAGGTGTAATTTAATCAATAGTTATAGTAATTATCGTCTGCTCAGATAGTTCTATTGTTCTCCATTACTGATTACAAAATCAATCCTTGCATTACTTTTCATTGGTATAATTAGTGTTGTACGTTATTGCTGCTGATACCTCTTAATTGTCATATAGTAGCGCTCTGTCTTCGCATTAGGTACAGATAAGCAAGATGAAACGGATGGATATTTCCTCCTGTTCTTAGAGTGTGACTTTTATCTGCAGGCATTACGGTGGATAAGTATGGGGTAATCTTCTTTGTGGATGGAACCATGATTCGCAGGATTGATCAGAATGGTATCATTTCCACTCTTCTGGGTTATAATGACTTAACCTCTGCTCGACCTCTCAGCTGTGATGCCGTTATGGACATTTCTCAGGTATGGCCTCTCTTTTGTGTTCCTTCTCATGCTCTTATCTATTTTCTGCAGGGTTTTGACCCTTTACTGCTATCTAAATTAATTTACCTGCTGATGTAGACATTTTCTGAGGCAGAACTCTTTTGCATTGACTTTTTTTTTTTTCTCAAAGTATTGTATAAGCTAATATGAATAAGACTCACAGGTACAGTCAGTTATTCTGCTGTCATTTTACAACATGTCTTTTAGATGTATTTTTGTATACAAAACTTATATTAAAGACTGTTAAGGAAGAGTCAGGGGAGTTTGTTTAAACTACCTTTTCGAAATGAATATACTATCCATATATTTGGAAGTTTTGGGGGAAAAAATGCTGCTGATGACAACTTGAAGGGCTATAGAGGCCTAGCAACTTGGTCTTTTCAAGCATGCGAAACTCTTCATAACCAGGAGTGTTAAAAAAATCTGTCATTGTGAAATTAGGCTGAACTAGGATAATCTTTTATATTGCATATTGTAATCCTGCTATCATCTAAATGGAATGTTTATGACTATGAAGCTGCTATTTAACTCTTTTTGTCTTTAGTGTAGTGATTTTTGCCTTCTTTCAGTATACATTTCAATATACATCAACAAGCTAAATGGACCAAAAGTGACCAAAGAAATGCTGTAATTTCTTTTAGAGAAAGATTTAAGATATTTATTTGTAGTCTGGTCATGTAGGAAGTACATCCAGCTCCAACATGACAGACTTTGATATGGGACACCAGCATCACTTCTCACTTAGAAGAGTGAGGACAGTGTGTTCTTTCATGTCAGTCTCTGATAATGTTATAAAAGTTGTTACATTTGTTTCTCATTGTTTTTTTTGTTTTTTTTTTGTGGCTAAAAGAGTTTAAAACTTGTTAAACATAGTGACCCAGCTGGTTAGATAGAAGCAGGAACTAGAACCAAGCTTCTGAAACAACTGTAATGTATGTCGGAGATTAAATAAGAAGAAGAAAGTTAAAACTTCCAAATATTTTAAAGGCTTTTATTTTTTTTTAATTGTTACATTTTTAGTATGATGGAGCAGACATATATTGAAATAGACCAGTGGTGAGCACCACTAACCTAGTTGCACTGACTTTTTAGTTGACAGTCTCTGTAGCTGTTAACTACTTGACAGATTTTTTCAACTGAAAGTTTACTAACAGTCAAGTAAATTAACGCTTTGAAATTCCTCCTGAAAAATTGAAAAATTTCTTTAGGGCAGGGGTCCCCAAACTTTTTCCTGCGAGGGCCACATAGCTGTTCCTTTCTGTGGTCTTAGTTTTTGCAGTAAAAAAAAACAAAGAAATTCTTGTCGACGGGGGGGGGGAGGAGACGACGACACTTTTGGATAGATTTTTACCCAGAATGCAAATGGAAAAAACCGTGAGTGAAACGGTGACTGACTATTATATATTCCATTGAGGGAAAGTAAGTTTCACATTTGCTCAAAAGCCCCCTGGTGGTTGAAGAAAAATCCACATATAAACCGGAAAATACAATATATGAAAAAAAACAACACTGAATGCTCTCTGGTATGAGCAGGCGGGCCGGATCCGGCATTGTTCAGGGGGCCGGACCAAATGACGTGGCGGGCCGGATCCGGCCCGCGGGCCGTAGTTTGGGGACCCCTGCTTTAGGGGAAGCTAGGTGCGCTAAATGTTTTCAAAGTTAGCAAGAACGCTAAAGCGCCAAACAAAAAATGAGCTCTATTGGCGCATTAGAGGAAGTGTGCCCACCACTGGGTTAGGAGTCATGGATAGAGATAAATACAGGGTAATCCTGCTTGATATAAGGCGACAAAAGTCTTGAAAGTAGGAAAGAGGTTCACCTTAAAATAGAGCAACTCTTACCATACTGTCAGAGCTACAACAGACAAAACAACCTTAGATGAAAACAAATTTGTGTTAGAATCACCCACTCAAGACCATGATTAACTCCAATTAAAAATGTTTGGCAAGACTTAAAAATTGAATGTGCTAAATGTTCTTTTAGATTACCAAAAGCACTAAACAAAACATTTGCTCCACTATTTGTGTATTAGCAGAAGTGTCCCCAGTATTATAATTGAATATGTTTCATTTCATTCAAAATGTACTTTATTTAAATTTTCTACATCTAAATGCTGTACCAGTTTCTGAAAATGGTACAGCAGAAGGGTCTACCAGATCTTGCTGCTCCAGATTTGATGACACAGAAAATTAGAAACAAACACAGATCTCCCTGACACATTTGAACATTTAAGTCATTTTTAAGGGCTAGCCAACAAACACAATTTTTTTCCTGAAATAGGAGCAGAATTATGCAGTGCATTTCATCAGACAGCAGATACACCCAAACCACAGGTGGCACTGTGCTTCCAGTTCTACTCTGCTTACCTACACATCTCCAAATTATTCAAGCATTTAGCTGGTTTTGCATATTATTGAGCACAACTAGCAAACAGTTGCTCCGGCGTGCCAAATGAAAGTGGGGGGAAAAAAAGCTTTTTCTGTTTATAGGATTTCATACACTCGAACAAAGCCTCCAGCTGCCCATTTCCAGACTCCCACCCTCAGGAGGGGATTTCATCCCTCCCACCACCCATGCCTTACCTTTTCTTGGTTCTTTACCTTTTCCCACACACAAGCACCTATATGTACTCACCTTCCCACTGCTGCTGCCGCGAGGACACATGCAAGCTGGGTGCAGCTTGACAATGATGACAAATCACACAAGCACTGCCAGAGACACTCAGACAGTAAAAAGCATCCATTAAAAATTCATCCAGAGCACACAGGCTCCTACTTCAAACACTCTCTGTAACCTCGCTCAGAAATGGGTTTCTCTGGAGAAGGCTCATGGCAGTGGTCATTACTTTTGTTGTGTTCCACACCTGATTTAGCCAAGAAATACTGTCAAATTTCTTCCCTCTCTGATGAGTTTATCTTGCTGCACCATGTCTCCTGTGAGGAAACTGCAGCAAAAATATTTCTTAATTCATCTCTTTAATCTTTTTTGTTTTTATCTTTCAACTTTTTTTTATTTCATTGCAAAACAACAAGTTTGAACTTTTTCAGAAGTCTATCTGTTTACACCATGGACTTAGATTGTTCCTGTTTTGCTTTTTCAGTCTGGTGGATTTCTGCCAAAATGAAAGACTTGCTTTTCTGTGTTCCCTGCTGAGTTCAGATTTTAGTCAAATAAAAAAAACAAATCTTCAGACTGAATCATTGGAAAATTTCAGGAGTTGGTATTAGATTTTCATGGTGTGATAACCTTGAGTAAAAATAAGCTTTTACAGAAATGACATATTATTGAAACCAGACATTTACATACACCGAATAAAAAAACTAAACATTTCTCACTATCTGAAGTTAAACCAATCCCAACTTCTCTTGTTTTAGGTCAGTTAGAGTAACTAAAATTGTGTGCATTTGCTAAATGCCAGAAAATCTATCAGAATATTTTTTTGTAATGTTTTTTGAATTTAGAATTTTACATACATTTGGTCAGCGGCAGGGAAATTTGTCTTTTAAACTATATGACTTGGGTCAGACCTTTAAAAATGTCCTCGTTTTCTGGCATGTAGAAAACAGAAATAATGTTGGTAACTGACCTACGTCAATAGAAGTTAGATCTAACTTTAGAAAGTGGGATAAAATGTGTTTGTATCTTTTTTCAGTGTATGTAAAAATCTGGTTTCAACCATTGTCTTCCAGACACATCTTATATGGCCTGTTTTGTCTTTATTTTTTGCTTATTTCTGATTTCTGAGAGAAGCTGAATGCCTTTGGAGAAAAACAGAGCTTAAAGTTCACTGTGACATTTATTTAAAAACAGCAAGGCAGTTATATCTTTCTGATTTTATTGGCAAAAACAGCAACAATATCCAAAGTTTATTTACTGTTGTTGACAGGCTGACAAATCCCTCACCATATTTCTCTCCTGAACTTTTATACAAGTCCAACAATTTTTTGCTGATATTTTTAAGACAAAATTCGAAGAATAAGACAAATGTGTGCTCCAATAACCTGAGCACACAGGTTATTGCAGTGATTCTGTGTCTCCAGAATCACTGCAGCATCTAAATAAGTTTTACAAACTGAATTATGTATCTTTGACAGAAACAGTTCATAACCTAGAATTCACAAGCTGCTGTCTTGATTTGTTGCTCACCTGGTTTTTAAAAATTGTTTGTAGCTGTGTTGCCCCTGAAATACTGGAGATACTAAGGGTGTGTTCACTTCAGTCCTGTTTAGTCCGCTTTAATGAAAGTCTGGTTAGTTTGCTTAGAAAGTCTGGTTCTCCTCACTGTTTACAATTTTACAGGAGTTTTTGATCAAAAACTCAGACTAACACCTTCATTCACTGTATTTTCTGTTATATAATGCATTTATTCTTATTCTTTATTTTTTCAGCTTTTCCGTTGAAGCATTATGGATTACCTTGTGTATGCATATATTTGCCTTGGAAATATAAGAAAAGGTGTAGCAGCCTTCTTTAGGCCACTTGAATGGCAGAAGACCAGCAGCACTGCACAACTCTATGCTCTAAACAGCAAGAGAAAAGTCTTCTAAGTCTTAATGTAATATTTTTTTTGCAGGTTTTAAAGCCCTAAAGTTCATTTTGGTAACCTGTAATGGGATGTTAGCAGCTTTAAAAAGATTTATCAAGTCTCAAACTTTGGCATTCAATTTAAATTGAGAATTTAGTAAAAATGACATCTTATTCTTTCTTTGATAACCTTCCAAGCCCTATAGAAAAGAAATGGCTGAAAGAAGGTAGAAAATCATCTGTAGCCTTCAAATATCCACCATAAAAACTTGGTGTTGGTACTAATCTGGGATTTGCTCCCCCACCTCATGAGCACTCTTTTGGGAGTTTTTTCCTTTGGGGTGGGGTTGGCAAAAGGCCTATCAGGCAGGCATTGCTGACAGCAGCCCCACTGTATAAAGTGCAGGCTGTGATCGGGTTACAGCATGTGGGACGACAGCTCAGGAAATATCCCCTCATCAGTCAAAGTGGCGTGAAAACCTCCTTACAGGCAGGTCCCCTGAGCCGCTCCACACTCAGGCTCATGAAATATTTAACCCGCAGTGTTGACAAGAAATAGGTTTTAAGAAATTTAAAGTCCCCCCCCTTTCATTACCCAAGTAAACGCAGTTTTTTGCTCACTGAAAACTGACATGTATCTTCTGTCAGTTGCCCGTTTGTTGTATGTCATCTATCCTATTATATAATCCTCCCCGATTCCTGTGAAAAATGACTGGAGGTTTAAAGGATATGAACTGCATGTGATGCTTGAAGTTGTTTCTCTTTCCACTTGGACTCAATGTCCTGTCAGATTCAAATTAATTATTCTGGCAGCATTGCATTCACTTCTCAATAGTAAACTAAAGGGCTTATATGTAAGTCTAAGACTTATTTATTTAGTTATGCAAAGATCAGAAAGCTGGGGAATTTGTTACTCCTGTGCCTGTGCATAGAGTTGTTGAATTCCCGCTTTATGGGCAAATAGCATTTTCAGTAGCACTTTTTGTATTTTGGTCCATGATTTAATCAGCAGCCTTCCTGTGAGCTCCCGGTGAAATATGACACTCTAGATTATGTTTCTTAGAGATCCCAGTGGGACAATAAGGGAGAAGGAGGCCAGTAAATGGGATTAATCCAATCATTTCAATTTGTTAAAAGCCTGACACATTGTCAGTAGAACAATAACTAATAATTCAAAAAGCCAAAGGCAGTGCAGGCTTTTGTTTGCTGAGGGTGTTCTTGTCTTTTTTCAAGGACTTGTGCTGTTGTATTATAGCAATAATAATAATAATAATATGGGGCAAAATCATTCAAAACCCTTGAACTTCTCATATTTTGTCACATCACGGCTATTTTAATGTGTTTTTTTTACTGGAAATTTTCTGACAGGTCATCATGAAGCAAACTGAAAATCTGATCTGAAAATTGTGGCTTGTTTTTTTTTTCACACTTTGTGTAACAAATGATTATGCTCTGATCTAAACCATTGTGTTGTAACTAGTGCATTAGCTGACGCTGATGGATTTAAACTTGTAAATACTTGAAGAATTCTCAGCATCAATAAAGGTCATCAAAAACTTTACTGAGGTTTTCATGACCTTTATTGCGGTTTTGATGACCAAAACCTCAATAAAGATGTCAAGCTTTATTCAACTTAGTTTACAAAAGACAACACTTTAGAATTTATCCAGAAGAGTTAACTTAGGTGAAGCTAAGTATGCTAAATCTCCTCAGAGTTTACACTAAAGCGGTAAGCAAAATATTAGCACATTATTAGAAGTATGCCCAACATCGTGGAGGCCTAATATTCATATTTCTTCCATTATCTTCTTTGTAACTTGAAGCTGATTTTTTAAATATATTTTTGTTGTTCTAGGTGCGCCTTGAGTGGCCGACAGACCTGGCAGTGAGCCCCATGGACAACTCTCTGTACGTTCTGGACAACAATGTTGTTCTACAAGTCTCAGAGAACCATCAAGTCCGCATTGTAGCAGGCCGCCCCATGCACTGCCAAGTACCTGGCATTGATCACTTTCTCATGAGCAAAGTGGCCATCCATGCAACTCTGGAGTCAGCAAATGCCTTAACTGTGTCACACAATGGTGTTTTGTACATCGCCGAGTCTGATGAAAAGAAAATCAACAGAGTGCGACAGGTGTCCACCAATGGAGAGATCTCTCTGGTGGCAGGGGCACCAAGTGGCTGCGACTGCAAAAATGACGTCAACTGCGATTGTTACTCTGGAGATGGAGGCTATGCCAAGGACGCCAAGCTGAACGCGCCCTCTTCCCTTGCTGTGTGCCCAGATGGAGAGCTCTATATTGCAGATCTTGGAAACATTCGTATTCGTTACGTGCGGAAAAACAAACCCTTTCTGAATCCTCTCAGTATGTACGAGGTATCCTCTCCAATTAATGATGAACTCTATCTGTTTGATTCCAACGGCAGCCACATTTTCACACAAAGTCTGACAACAGGAGACCATCTCTACAATCTGACCTACACAGGAAAGGGAGATATAAGTGGTATCACAGATAAGAACAAGAATACAGTGACCATCCGACGAGACACTACAGGAATGCCTCTGTGGCTAATGGTCCCTGATGGGCAGACCTTTTGGTTCACCATTGGTACTAACAACGCCCTCAAAACTGTTGCTGCACAGGGTCAAGAACTAGCTGTAATGACCTATCATGGGAGCTCAGGACTTCTTTCTTCTAAGACGAATGAAAATGGATGGACCACTTTCTTTGAGTAAGTAATATTAAGAAACATTACCAATAGTCTGTGAATTGATTTTAAAGTTATTCAGCAATGAGAGCTTACAATATTGTTACAAGATCATAAGACAAACAAAGGAAGCTAGTAAAAATAAAGGACAACTAGTTAGCAACGGCCTTTTGTGACACAGACTTCTTTCATAATTTTGTAATTATAATTTTCAGCCATTGTTTACATCCAGATTTACCATGTCTAGCTTCCTCTGGTGCAGAATTTTGTCAGCGATGAAGATAAAATGCAGCATGACCATTCAGACTGCCAACGATTTAAAAACTATTGCATATTAATCCAATTTCCCACCATATTTGGAAGTGGCACAAATCTAATATCATGACAAATTGTGGGAAAGTTGGATATGGTTGGCATTTTCCTGCTCTGTGAACTAGAAATTAATCTTTATGTAGGCCAAAAAATATGTTGAAAATTTGACCCATTAGTTTGCATTTTATCTAAATATAACTAAAACTAAGGCGTTGACTTTTATCAAATTCACCCATATTTAAACCACATGTAGATATGAATACAATTAGTACGTTTATCTTGAAATCTGTTTACTATTCCACTACAGTTTCACATTGATTAAACATTAAGCCATATTGTCTAGAGGTCATCTCTTGATTACAAAATAGGTTAAAAAATAAAAAAAAGAATTTGCTCTCCTGGATATCCTGGGTGTTTAAACTGATTAACTTGTTATCAATATCTGTAGTCTGTAACCATTGATATGTAGGGTTACAAGGGTCTTCCAATCCTATTCTTTGGATCAGAAGCCAAACAGGCTTGGAAATTTTTAATCAGGGATTCTCACAAAATAAGTCATTTTATTCGAATGATTTGCACTTACTGCCTTACTTTCACCCCTAATTAGATGAGGTAAAGATCATTTATGAGATTTCAGTGTGAGTCTAACAGACTCATGCCTCCATCTCTGCTTTTGATTCTGTGTTGTCATCCTATGTTAAGACGTTTTCGTAGAAAAGTGAATTTAGTGTTTTTTGGCATATGAACTCCCCTCTTATGGCTGGATGTCAAGTCCATGAAAATGCAAGACCTGTGGAAGTATGAGTGTAATCCTGTTTGCTGTTATCATACCAAATAGGATTACCGGGTGATATGTTACTCATCTGCACACCTCCTTGCAGTGACAGACTGCAGACCCTCCATTGTTGGATACAGGATGGATAGAGATGCATCTGCTTGGTAGAAAATTTTAACCCGTAGGGATGTGAAGGCTGATTAATGTAGTCATAATAGAATAGCCAGAGGTAGTAATTGGCTGAGGTGAACCACACATTGAGTGGGAACAATTGAAAACCCTCCCACACTCTTCGGCATATGAGCGCAGGATTTCATGTTCTCGTGATTTGTGCTGAGCAGCCTGTCCCTTATCCTAACATGCTGTACCAAAAGGTGGGAACTGTGCTAACAGGATGTCATCCCAAAACATGTGATTAAGCAGATTTGCCATTCAGACATCTGTCACACCTCACCAGTTGAATGTAACTTTGACACGTAATCAGACGCTCCATTTAATATGCACACACATTTATCACCTGTGTTTGATTCGGCTGTCACCTGAGATGCTTCGAATGAAAGTGGAAAGCAGTAATGCACCCAAATATTTGCATTTCTGGAGGTAGAAAAAATTGCCTCTGGCCACAAAACACACACTAGGTGTTTGGAATTTTAAGTATATATTTTTTGACGTTCTGCAAAACAGCTGCGGTTATTATTAGATCTGAGCCGCAACCTTTGCTTATGTGTAAAGAAACAGGAAGATCATAGAGCAGAAGTTGCACAAAGGACTTTTTAAAGATGGAATAAAAACAGTTTTTCAGGGTCAGAATTTCTTGTTTGTGTGAATAAACAGACATGGAGAATAAGTGTAGCACTTTAGAATATTCCAGTTTGATGTTATATGTTGAGAAAAAAAAGTCATAATCTGTTTACTAATATACAGCATCAGTTATAATGTTTTTAAAGAGAAAAAGGTCAAATTAATATGAATTCTTTGACTATTATTTCAAGTTAACGTGTGTTTGTTTTTAATCTTTTCCTTTTACCATGACAGCGATACAACTAAATGCAAAGCAGAAAGTTGCCTTGAATATATTTAATGCCTTGAAATAAACAAATCTGGATTAACATATTTACTGTAACTTTTGTTCCTAAAAATATATCTACCTTTGTATTTTTTGGGGGTTGTTTTTCCTATGAAAGTTGCATATTATAGTCTGCTCCAAACAAAGGAGATATTCAATTACTCAATTTCCTGCTTCTTTTCTTTCAAGTCAAGCAATAACTTTGTTTTTACCTGCAGGCAAATCAGTTCATCCATGTTTCATTTAGACCAAATAAAGAGCATTTGTTTTTCCTTGAATAATTAGCGTTGAAGGTCAGAACACCACCTGAGGCTCTGAAGCAGAATTTGCTGCCATCAAAACCGCCATTTATCTCCATCCAACAAAGAGCCCTGCTAAACATTTGCTGGTATTAATAATTATGTGATTATATCCCGTGGTGTGTAGATCAAAGGATATTCTCATTAGGTGCAGATATAAGACTCAGAATCGACTAGGGAACAATAAATGAATGCTGAATTTTCTTTTCATTGTAACCCTTGGTAACCTCACTCCCATTGACATTTATGGTATCCACAAACATACTTCTGACCCTTAAATAATTTTATTACTATAATCAATGTTCCCAAAAACTTTTGACCACTCTACTATAAACATCTTACAACAGATTACGGTTGCTGCTGATGATGATTGTGAGGAGAAGAGACCTTTGAGATCAACTGTAGGAAAATGGAGGGCTACTGTGCGACTGACTTTAGTGTCTCTTTTGAGTAAATTTTTAAAGTGTCTTCCTACAGTTTGACCTGTAATCTAAGTATTTATTGCTAATCAAAATGGTTTGAGGTCACACATAATTTTATTGTATTTCTGCAATAATCTGTTCAGTCATTTGGAAAAAAAAGATTTTTGCAAGAAGCAAAACACTTTCTACTATAAGATAGAACGTTTATGTGGATATTTTTAATTTCTTAGGAAAGAGAATGAATTAGTTACAATTATTTAAGTGATTTATGTATTTATGTTTATATCAATATTTGAATCACTCTTTAAAGTTTATCACTAGGTTTTGATTTTTGGTGACACCCCGAAGATCATCAATTGGCCCCCATTTAGTCCTCTTTAAAAAAATTCCTTGATACACCCCTGCTCTGTGGAATTTGACATAAATAATATACAAGCATTAATAGTGTTTAAAAATTTGAATATCACGCACTAAATTAAACGCAGCAGGTCTGATGCATATTTATAAATATTAATTGAAACTGTTTGCTACAGTCCGCTCAGCTTGGATGCAGTGCTATAATTTCGCTGTAATGTGAATTTCAACAGCCAGTAGAAATAGAGAAATGTGTTGAAAAAAGCTGCACTAGTTCTCTAAAGCAGTGGTGTCGAACTCATTTTCATTTTCATTTCCCATTAAGATTATAAATGTCTTCAAAAGGCTGGTTGTGGCGGAATGTATTGATAAAACCACATTTTAACAAACCATTAAAATGTTATAATTTTCTCTGCGTTCAAGAAGTAGTTCTTAATTTTTTCACACTGACCTAATTTGGTGCTACACAAATAAAAACTGATTTGATTTGACTGATAAAACATTTAAGCACACAAGCGATATGCTGAAGTTCTGCTTCCACAGAAATAGTTATGGAAAGCCATAATTAGCCCACAAGTCTCGAGTTTGCCACATGCACGCTAAAGTCTTTAGCTTTAGCTCATGTATTGCAACAATAAGCTTTTAAAATGTTTTATATCCCCTCAAATTCAAGGCAGCAAGCAAAATAAGAAAACCCCACGTAAAATTGGCATTTACTGTGCTGCAGGTGATGTTGACATGAAGTGTTCGGCCCATTGTTGGGCCCTAGCGTGAAAGGTCATGGAGCTAACATGTCACACAGAGCTGATGCGATCCGAATAGACTCATGGCCAACCATGGGGAAACAGTTCTCTGCTTCTTTTGAGCACCCTGCCCCTGTGTGCCCCTCTTGCTCAAAGAAAGCAAACTAATGGGCAGCTGAGCCGAGGCAGGCAGCAGCCATTAGCAGCTCAGCTAGCTAGCTCACGGCTTATAATTGAGACAGAGAGAGTGTGGGTCAGTGATCAAGCCACCTAATGCGAATAAGATTTGTCTACTGGACTTTTGTGAGAAAGGCAAACTAGCTGAATAAATTAAGCAGCTAGACTGTACAATTTAGATCATGAGTAATGTATGCTTTCAAAGCTTAAGTTTGTTTACAAGATGAAGACAGGGAAGATCAAATGCTTAGATGCTAATTACGATGCTATTTTCTATTTCCTGGAGTGGAAGAAATGTGCATGAATCTCAGTGCCTTGCACCAGCTTGGATCAGATAACATTTATCTCTCTGAGATGATCCTTCTCCCACTCTTCCTTTCCATATTAGACATTTGAGATGGGAGCACTGAGGAAATATCTGTAAACCAGCACCCGCCGTCTCATTTATTAGAGGCTTTATTGTAGCAGGCAGCAACATAGAGGAGGGCGTTCTAATATGTATTCGGTGCACAGATAAAAGTCTTCATTCTAAGTAATGTACTGCTCACCCACTCCTCGAACAGGCAATCTGAAAGATTTCAAATTGTTCAATGCTGACGTGCTCTCTGAGCAGAATGAAACAATCTGGCCACTCATGTTCTTGTATGTGATGAGCTGATTTGTAGGCTGGAGAGAGACAGCATCTCTCAGAGGATTTGCACTTCAGTGCTCCTTTTTCATAGGCTGCATAATGAGATTAGGTGATGTTGCTAATCTTTTAAGCTAATAAAATGTTTTCCAAATGCAAGAAGGTTTGTGCTTTCTCATCTTTGCTGTGAAACCTTTCTCTTTAGAAGAAGTTTACCCTTTTTTCCTGTAGCATTTCAAACACAACTAACAAAAGCGGACACTTGGTGCAACTTTGGAGTTCTGCCATATTATCCAACAGCCACTGAGTTAAAGGTAGCTGGAAAATTGCCATAAATGTGTGACTCTCAGAAAATTATTTTCTGTTAACTAAAAACACTTTTGCTAATTATAGGTATTTTAAACAGATAAAAATACAGATTCACATTCCAAATTCTGACATAGCACTCGTCAGTGAACCCTGTTTTACATGAACATCATCTCTTCCTGCCTCATATGAAACTCCAATGTAAGTGCAGATGGCCTTATGCAAACAGAAAGATCAAACAACAGCTTCATTATTATGTTATTATGACAGGCCAACATAATTCTTTGAAACGCTTCTTTGTTTTAGTTTAATTGAGCATTTATTGAGACTAAAAAATGTGTAGGTCATTTGAAATCAGCAGAAAAATCTTGCAATAAAAGGTGCAAATATTTATTTATGCAATGGTTGATTACAGGTTTCTATCATTAGAAGTTACGCATTATAAAGTAATTGAATTTATGTTTCTTCCATGTAATGTTGAAAAAGGTAAAATCTTCAAAACTCTATGGTAGTATAATTACTCCTCTGAAGATTTTACTTTTAAAGCTTGTTGTGCCACGACAATTAAAGGTGACTATTGAATTTATTATCTTTTCTTTTCTACACTGGTTGATTTGCTGTCTTTTTACAATCGCATTTTGCAGTTTGTGGCACCAGGAAGGAAAAAAAATTAGCACTGAAATACTTAACAGAGAATAAGTCATAATTGCTGAAGTAGATGTCATTTTTTCTTTTAAATTGGTTCTGTTCCCTACAGCTGATCCTTATTTCAAATACTCTCTATCGTAGGTACGACGGTTACGGACGACTAACCAACATCACTTACCCCACCGGCAGAGTAAGCAGCTACCGTACAGAAGCCGACAGTTCGGTCCGCATCCAGACAGAGGGCTCCAACAGAGAGGATATCACAGTCACCACCAACCTGTCTGCCTCTGGCAACTTCTACACACTTTTGCAAGGTGAGTGCCTCGGTGATGGGAGTCAATTTTTGTCTGAGACCCAAATTCGTTGACACAATGCGTCAAACCGAGCATTTACATTAAACTGTCATCTGAAAGGATAAAATGCAATTGCACATACACTCTTTTCATTACTGCACTGCCTGACTGTAAACCTTTCAACTTTATCCCTCTGGTTTGACATCACATTTTATTGGTTGAGGGACATCAATGGAGTCTGTGAGGGTGTGTAGCCATTTCTTAGTGGCATGAGTAATATCCTATAGTGTTCACACAACACAGTAATTTCAAAAAGTATTCAGACACAAACACAAGGTGTAACATAACACTTCATGTTACACCGTGAATCTCAAATGGATTTTTTGGGATCTCCAAATAGACCAGCATATAAACAAGGAGTACTTGGGAATTAGATTAGATATATTTCAATATGATAAAAAGTTGTTTTTTTTCCACATACAAAGTTTCCAACTGGAACTTTTGTATTTTTGTGGTTCTGGTACGCCCTTAAACATGACCCACAACCAACACCAATGGACAACAAAGCTGCCTTTCTTTACCTTCTGGGGGATCATTTTTAGTTCAAAAGTAATCTGATGGGACTCTGGTAAAAAGTATTTTATGTGAAAGTTGTGCTAAAAGGAGACACAGAAGGTATTCAAGCTTAAAATGCCACTTCAGTGCAGAACATGTTGCAGCAAGCAGTGACGTCCGCAACGCTAATGTCAGCGTCCACGGTCCACATTTCTAACGTAGTTTTTCATAGGAAAAAGCTGAATGGGTATAATAGTATTTTGCCCTTGTATGATGGTTGAATGACCTAAATAACTTATAAAAACACATATGTTTATTCAATAATTTTTAAAGAGTTTTTTAATTAAAAATGTTATGTTTATATGTTGCTTTAAAATACAAAAAAAAAAAAATTACAAACCTTGAAATTAATTTGATGAAAATTTCAAGTGCCACCACTAATTGTACATGTATTCATATAAATATAAAATTGGAAAGCTAAGTGTGCGTTTTGAATTGATTTAGTCAATACTTTGTAGAAGCATTTTTGGCTACAAATACAGCCTCGAGGGATCTTCTGTATCCATTTTGCACATCAAGAAATTGAACGTTTTAGCCAATTCCTCTGTGAAAAATATCTCAAGCTCAGTAAGCTGGACAGAGAGCAGCTGTGAGCATCAATTTCTAAGTCTTGTTGCTAGTTGTCCATTAAATTTCACTTTCAGTTTTGGTTAAAGGTCATGTCTTAGCAGATTTTCTGTAGAGTCTTACTCTTTAATTATTTGGATCATGGATTTAACATTGCTTAGTGATTCATTAAACCAGAGGTTCCCAAACTGTGGGGTGCGCCCCCTAGGGGGGGCACCGTGTCATTGCAGGGGGGGGCGCGGGAAGCCGTCTGGATGAAAAAAAACAAAACATGAACACTGTATGCGCTGGGTTTTTACCTTAGAGTGGCCAACTCTCTGTTATTCCTATGTCAATTTGATACAATAGAGGCTTCAACACTTCCCATATCTGTGTCCTCTGTCACTTTTATCAGCAGTTAAAACTGTTTAATCTGTTAACATGTTGTAACCTGTTTTTCCGAGCCGCCTTTAAACGCAACATGAGCACTACGACGCTTGCGCTGGGTTTACACCTGTGAAGGAGACCTGCTGCTGCTGGGCGGAGCTACGTAGGTTTGTGTTAGAATCACGGCAGCAAACCAGCAAAACGCAAACAACTTTTCACAGTTTTTCCCTCCAAACTAACCGACTGAGTTGAGTAAAGCTGTTGGATGCAGGTAATGTTAGCTAAAAGATGACCAGCTAATATCAATACAGAGCCTTAAGCTTAACAAGTACCTTGTAGGCTACCGATGTTGGTGTCTATTTTCAGCTACATACATTCATTTTGCCCCCAAAAAAGTCGATGCCCCCCCCCTCTCCCCCGTCACACGTGTCGTTTCAACCAGACAGCCATTTGTAATCCATAGGGGGGGGCGCAGAAAATGTTTGGAAACCACTGGGGGGGCGCAGAAGAAAATGTTTGGGAACCACTGGATTAAACACTTAGGATATTGTTTTATAACCTAACCTTGCTTTAAATTTCTCCACAACTTTCTTCCCCACGTGTTTGTTGTGCTTCTCGGTCTTCATATTGCTGTTTGTTCACTAATGTTCTCTAACAAACCAAACGGCACAGCTGAATTTGTACTGAGATTAAAGTAAAGGGAGATGGACTCCAGTAATTAGGGGACTTTTACTTTTTAATTGAAGAAATCTGGTGGTTGGAGGTTAAAATTAACTAAATGTAAATTCAGGCTACACTTTCCAGATCTGTGTTTAAACACATCTCAATAGAATACATTGAAGTTTTTTGGTTCTAACATGGAAAATTGTTAGAAACTAAAGTGCTACTCTGCTTAAAAAAGTAAAGGGTGAAGAGTTGTTCTGACAGGAGACATGTTCCTCTTCCTCATAAATTAAGCACCTCGTCGAGTCTGTTTGGTCATGCCATCACTAGATTCTCTTTGAAGTCAAACTCCAAGTTATGTCTTTAGTGAAGTTGGTGCTGTTGAGACTTTGCCCCAGGGATGGCCTCAGTTTTTCTCCTTACTGAGCAGGTTACTTACTTGTAAGGATTGCCTGATTGTAGTAAATTGCATATTCATGCTTAAATTACAGCAGTTTTGACTGTACAAGCAATGAACACCCTGCAATGGACCGGCAGTATGTCTAACCTTGCCTCTTGCCCATCAACTGCTGGAGATAAGCGCCTGCCTCCCCGCGATCCTGCATGGATAAGCAGGTTTAGATAATGAATGGATGGATGGATGGATGGATATTCACCGAATTTTGAAGCGCTCCATGGGTTTTGGAGCTGTGGTAACAGTGGTGTCTAACTCCTGCTTTAACTCAGGAAGGCCTGCAGCTCCATGTAGGAAGCCTCAAGGCAAACTAGTTTCAAGAAAAGAGCTAGGGGAAAAATAGCTGTCTTTACGGATTGACCCTCTTTGAGAACTTGCTGCAGTGGGAGTACCCTGTGGCTCAACCTGTACTTTGGTAGGCCAGACTTTCAACAGTTTTTACTAAAACAATACAAGGGATTTAATCCTCAAAACAACATAACAGTGAAATGGATAAATAGAATCAGCATGACTTTGTTTTTGATATAAGGTTTTGACCTTTTCAGATGCAATTCGTCCACACTTTTGTTGCAGAGGAAATGAAATTTGCCCTCATTTTACAATGCTCAGACAAAGGCAGACGACTCGGGTGCAAATCTCAGAAAACCTTTATAAACGGTACAACGCCTGGTGTGCGACTGCTTTTAAATCATCGCCCGTAATCAAAGCCGTATTTCTTTTCTGTTCTATTTTTAAGAACATGTGTTAGTGAGCATCCATTTCCCAGAAAAGAAAAAAAAATAAAAATTGATTTTATGTCATAAAAAATGAATCAGGAAACACAGTGTAGGTGGTCCTTACTAGACCCTCCAGGAAAATTGGTGAAAAATACAACTGAGTGGAGATTTTGTAATGCACTGTGGCAATAAAACATCCTGTTTAACCTGACCTGACACTAATTGACCATTAATAGCTGTCATTTTTAGCTGTCGTTTAACCTGTTCGTCATGATCAGCATCTGAAACATAAGATGAAAAGCTTCACTTCACCATTGATCAAACAAACTAAAAGCTTCTGTTGAGTGATCCTGACTTATACATCTGTTTATAACTATAGTAGCACCAGAAACTCTGCTTCTAATTAATACACTGCTATCTCTGTACAACATCACCATGTCGGTGACAATTTAACGTTTTTTTTCTGTTTTCATAATTATTTCAACAATGTGTTAAACTGATTGAAAGTGAAACTGTAGATGAACAACTCCATTGTTTAATTTCTCTTAAACCACAGGGAAAATAAGAGTGGTCATGGTTTACTAGTCAAAAGTTTTCTTTATCTTAAAAATAATATTACCAGTTACATTTACTTTGTTGCAGTGGTGAGGGGTGTGAACAATTGCTACGGATCATCTATTCTGTGATCACTGTCTGCCCAAAGCAAGGAAAAATATCATAACCATTTTTACAACTACTCCAAAATATGCCAGTGTGCAATTTTTTTGATTAGGCTCAGGAAAATATAACTGGACATAGCCTGGTCTTTTTATTATCTTTAGAAAAGGCAAAACAATGCCTTTCTTAGTGGATGTCTATAAGATGCTCAGAGGTAGCATTAATCACTGGTCTTGAAGTGGAACATAGGCGGCTGTCACCCAGGGAAAGAAACAGGCAGGTTCAGATTTATCCCCCGTGAATCTGTGCAAATGTGCATGCCCTGCCGTCTCTGTGGCCACAGGCAAGCTAGCTGCTTTGATAGTTTTCATCTCTCAGTATCCTCCAGGCTGCTGCAACAGCTGTAAAATTTTACTTTACTGGTGCTTTGAAACCTCACGCTATTGATCTTTGTTGTCACAGACTCAACGTTACCACAGTGGCTCGGTTAAATACTGCCGCTAAAGGCTTTCCTTTTTGCTGTGCGGCCATTTTAGGTCATTATATTTGTGCCTCACAGAAAGAAATATTAGATATGCTCCTCTTACATCAGCTAGACTGTTTCTTCCCTTGTAACACTTCTAATATCTTCTCTACATCTTCAGAACAAGTTCGGAACAGCTACTTTATTGGTTTGGACGGCTCATTGCGGCTTGTTCTTGCCAATGGTATGGAGGTCTCCCTGTATACCGAGCCCCACCTGCTGGCCGGGACGGTCAACCCCACCGTCAGCAAGAGGAACATCACCCTGGCCATCGACAACGGCCTCAACCTGGTGGAGTGGAGACAGAGGAAGGAGCAGGCTCGTGGTCAAGTCACCGTATATGGACGCAGATTGAGGGTAAGAACACAGCTTTGCGAAAACTGATGCATGACTAAAAGCACTGGGTCAACTGCTCATTTCCCGATCTCTGAAAATTGTTGATGACCTCTATATTTCTGTTCATACTTGGATTAACTTTTAAACCAGTAATGCTAAAACTTTTTAGAATAAGCACCTGCTCAGTAAATAAAAAAATTAACACACTGTTGGTGTGCCCACCAACAGTGGTGGGCACTGCTAGCTAAGAATTTAGGTGTACTAACCCTAAAGCACTAATCATAAACATTAGTTCCACTAATGCTAAATCACTATACCAACACTGTATTTAGCCAAAGCTAATGCTAGAGCAGATTCAGCTATTCACAGTAAGCCCAAATTATTTGAGGAATTTCCACCTATTCAGAATGCTAAAAAAAGAACCAAAAGTACGTAATTCATTTTTGATTAACATTTTTCACATCCATAGTCACATAAAAAGACAAAACCAAACCGCACAAAAGAACTAGTACAAAAACATTCTTAAAATTGAAACAATAAAATTAAACTTAAAAAAGGACACATGCTACTTAACTTGGTTAGCATTTACAAAGCAGTCAATCCATTCATTTTCGTTGGCGCTGATTGGCTGTACCAACAAGAGCGGAGATACAAAAGCAATGCAAATTATGTTATAATTGGTGTTTGAACTAGTTATAGAAGCGATCTCAAGTATTTGCGGGTTTTAGCTTTTTTTTTATTTTTTTTTAGGTTTTATATACTGTTTATTACAGTTAGAATGAGTTTAGATATCTTTCACTAATAAATTATAATAAATACCACTCCAGTCAGAATTGGTAAGATAAATATTAAGTCAGTGTCTGCATAAAAACTGACTTTTTATTTTTACAGACGAATTCAAGTCTGAAGGAAGACAGAATAAATACCCACTGAATTTAATTGCAGTTTTAGGTCAACGTGCTTATTATGCAGGTATTATCACTTTGTGACATTTTGGACTACATAAAGCAGCTGCAGCAGCTGAGATTTCTGCTTATGTAGCAAAGCTGAAGTTGGCTGCTTTACAGACGTTGGCCTTTTAGCATGCTAACTGCACTTTAAGAAAAGCGTTCTCTGAGCACTGTAATTGACAGGACTCTTTTACCTTAGACCCCATGACCGTCGGAACAGCTGAATTTCTTTCTTGTAAATAATAGAAAAGTGTAGGAGTGACTGGCAGTGGACTGAAACAGGTAAGCGAGGAGCAGTGCACTATTATTTTGCTCCATATAGCCAAATACAACTCTGGTTACTCCAGAACTTTCTGAGATCTTATTAAAATTACTGTGAAACATGGGTATGATATGTCAATACGACTGCGCAGCAGAGGAAGTTTTTCCTTTATAAGTATTACTTTGGTTTGTTTAGCTAAACATGTTAAATAAATGTGTTTTGTCATAAACTTACTAAGGGAGATTATCTGTTTGTGCTACATCTCATTCTGATATGATGAGCAGCAGATCCTCCATACGCAGGGTGTGCTGTCCACAGGAAAAAATGGAGCAGGAAAACGAGCTCCAAGAAGAGCTACATTGACTGTACAACAAAGTAGAAAAAAAGCACCATAAATGTTTCAGGGTTTTTTTCCTGAATTGTGCCCTGTGACATTCCAGCTGGATAAGGACCATTTGAAGCTGCTGAACAAATCTGGCCACATAAGAATGAGTTGCTGCCAAAGTCCCCCTGTTGTTATTTACTCTCTAGAAGCACTCCAGCAAACTCTTATATTAAAATTTCATCCATGAGCAATACGAGACAGAAGCTCTTATTATGGCTGAGGGAGCAAACACAAACGATACCATGTGCTGCTGGCATGGAGACCATGTAAATTTCATTCATTCATTTGTTCATTCATCTGTAAATGCTCCCCTGTAAGAAAAATAAATAAATCCTCAGGCTAGCACTTTTGCTTTTCTCCTGCTCCCAGTTGTATCCCAGTATAAAGCTTTAAAATAAGTCTGAAATAGCATCTAAAATCTGCCTGCTTTCTGAATAAAATTCACAGTTAAGGTTTCCTGATTTATCCTGATTTTGATGTCAACTGACAAAATCACCTTACTGTGAAAATGTACGATTTTGATTATTTGTGAATTTAGGGTAATGAAAATTGACTTGATGAGTCCCTCCCTCATAAACCTAATGTATATTTTATTATTATTATTATTATTATTATTTGTACCATTTTTCAAAATGTCACCATAAACTAATTCAGATTTGCTAAAGAACAGAAACTGGGGTTTTCTGGGCATCATAATCTTGGTTGAATGTACAATCTGTATGGTGAAGCCATTGTTATATGGAAAAACCTGCTTTACTGCTGTTTGCTGTAAAGGTTGGCGAAATAAAATCACACTCTCATATCAGGGGATTTATTAGTTTAACATTTGGATCTATGGATGTAAGACTGAGCTGTGGACAGCAGTTAAAGTTAAGGTGTTTTTGTTATATCCCTCATAATCACAGATTAGTCACATAAAACTACCTCATGGTCTGAATATCTTGACAAGTATTCTCACCCTTTTAACGCATTACACATTTCTTTTACATAAGCTGCTATATGTCTTGGTTTCGCAATGGTTTTGAAATAAAATGTGGTGTACATTTTGAATAAGAAGATCTGGCTTACTATGTTATGCAACCAGGATTTTTTCTTTTTTTTATTTTATGGGATGTCTCTACCATCTTTTTCAAGTCTTGCCACCAAATCTTAATTGGATTTCAATGAAGACTTTGACTGGGCAATTCTATCAAAATAATATGCTTTCATCTAAACCAGTGTTTATCAAATTGGGAGCCACCTGGAAGAACTAGGGGCCCCTTGGAGAGCCGGAGGGAAGATGAGGAAAAAAAATGCAATAATGTGCCTGCCAGAATAGCTTGTGGTAAAACACAAATAAGACTTCCTTTTGGTTTCTTTTGGCGTTAGCTATATGCTTAACAGTTTTCAATATTTTCCCCACCTGAGCTGTGGATTACTGCAGCTGCTCCAGTTACCCTCGGTGTCTTGGCTGCTTTTTCTAAGTAGTGCTGTCCTTTTTCAGCCTGCTGGTTTAGGTGGATTGCCATGTCTTGACGTGTTTGTTTTGGTGCCATTTCTGTTCTTTTCTCGATTCTTAAAGCTTAGGATAGTGTTTTATAATTTAGCCCTGCTTTATTCTCCTCCACACTTTAATTCATGTTGCGTTCCTTGCTCCTTATGAGGCTGTTTGTTCTCTACTGTTCTCAAACTGTTCACTCTATGTGACCTCAGCAGCACATTGGTACACAGATGCTGGGTAACAACTCTGACTCATCTTTTTGCTCTGATTTGTAATTATCATTTCTACATTGAAATTCAGTTAAATAATATGAGCCCGAATCATCATGTTCACAGAAAACCAACAGGTGTGTTTCAAACCGGAGCCCATTGGCAAAGCATAATAATGCTCTGCATGTCTTGGCCATGTAGAGCCAATAGGAACTTGGTTTAAACCGTCTCCTCCGTTTCTGGGAGGCAACGCTGCTAATGGGGAGGTGCCACTTTGTCTGTCATTGGCTGTTCATTTAATGGTCCTGTCGTCCCCTTTGGAAGTGAAAGTGTCTAATGTACGTTACAGACAACGGCCCCCCAGGGTTGTGTTGGGAAATGGGAGCAGGCCTAATGGCAAGAACAGAGGGGATGAACGAAGCTGAAATCATTGAGCGACCTTGAGTGACATGTCAAGTGATGTTATGTGGGCGGCAGGGTGAGAGTGTCGCAGCGCGCGGCTGGAGGGTCGCAGGGCGGGGGCGTCGGAATATAAAACAGATATGCAGCTGTGTAGCTCCAACTTCACAGACATCTGTTGTTGTGAGCAGAGGCGACAGGGGAAAGCAGGTTCCTTCTGTCTGACTTCCAGTTTGTTCCTCTGACCGTCTTTGTCACGCTGTGGAACTACACTCGCTGGGTTTTGCATTTCTGAAAAGGCTGCTTTTCTCCCTTTTTCTGCAGTCTCGGATCCCTCTCAGGCTCTCCATCCCTTCCTCAGACTTCCTTTTTGATTTACATTCATGAGGCACAGTGACCGTATCCCTCAACGATAACAAACCCTCCTCTTAGTTTGGGCAGGTTGTTAATTTACAATAATGAGAGAACCCTCGGGGCTGCTGCTGCACCATCGCAGCGCTCTTTATCCTCTTCATCACTGAATACAAAACAGAGACAAAGCTGAGATCTGTGTCGTAACAGCTTAGGATTATCATAGTGCCTTATCATGTTGAGTTTGCTGTTCAAAAGAGATACAAGTTAGAAAAATGTTTTCTTTTAACTGCAGTGAAAAACAACACCACTGTTGTTATTGAGGAAAACAGCCAGAGGACTAAATAAATCACCAGAAATGATTAAAGGCAGATTTGTAAAATGACAAATTGAGACTGTCACTTGACGCAAAAATCTTTCCTATTGATTTGGAGATTTGATGTCCTGGTAATATGTTATTCACAGAACAGTTAGAAATCTACCTTTGTGAGTGTAGTGAGCTGCAACTATCGTCTTATTTTTTGCTTCCTCTCACTTATTTCCTTTGAGATATTCCCTTAAGAGACAGCATCCAATTTGAAAATTATTCCCCATGAGTGGGCTCCTGTTCTCGTGGGATCTTTGGATCTCTGCTGTCAGATGCTTTTCTTTCCTTTCTCACCTCTACAAGATGAGTCTGTTGGAAATCAGCTCACGCTGCATGATAAACTTTCTCTAACAGAAAGCAGAGCTCTGTTGCCTTGGAAATAGTTTGAGACACTAAGGACTGAAGTGTCTCAGTAGATACAGAACGGCCTTTTTCTTTCCCATAAAAGAAACCCTAAGGCACATGGTAGATTGTCTTGGAAAAGTTGTGTTTCTTCAACTTCTTCAGCATCACGTATTGCAGTTTGGTTTGTTAAATTTCATCCATCGTACATAAATTCCCCTTTAACCCACCAGACTACCAAGGTGCCTGTTAATGCATATTTAAAACATACCTAAGATTAAGTTGTGGTGGTTGACCCGGTAAAATTCACAGATTGTAATATGAATCCAAATTATTTGAGGAAAATACAACAACTTGCGGATTCTTTTTGTCAATCATATTCAAAAAAATTTTGAAAAAAAAAAAAGTGATTTGGAAGGCTGAAATACCTAGCCACAATGCTGCCTTTGCACGCTGTTGCCTGGCATTTGCATTGCAGGGGTACCAATGTGTCTCTGGATAAGTCTGAAAGATAACAGTTCTCATTGCTTCTTAAAAATTAAAATAAAGCAAATCCCAACACAGACCCCTGTTCTCATTTCTTGACTAAATGACCCTCATCTTCCTCAGTCTTGAAGTTGAATTTCTTTGGCTTGCTCTAAATATCCATGGATTGCTCCTGCTCTTAACTCTCTTGGTTTTACTTAAAGTAATCCTCTCAATTGGGTATCAGTGGCATTAATTGCCTCTGGTGTAATTGTCCCTTCACAGATGAGAGACCTAAGCATGCGTTCCTCGGAGTGAGATTGAAAAAAGGGAGGGTTTCTCAGCAAGCCCCCGTGTGACCTGCTCAGTAGGATGATTCAGGAAACTAGCCAGAAGCAAACTTCTGAGCCACTGACATTTCTTATCCATATCAGGCATTTTTATCAAGCCAGAAAAAAAGCCTGCTGTAAGGTTAATGTGGGAAAAATCGTTCATTACGCAGTTAATGGCCAATTTGGCTTTGATCGGCTCTGACTGGTGAGCATCAGGTCAAATACTGAAAAATATGGATTTTTTTTTTCCTGTTCATTAAATACATTAAAGCTTACGCCTCGAACTTTTTAAGTCTTTACATCAACAAACAGCATTTTCTTTGATGCACTTATATCCCTAAAGGGAAGGGATATAAGCTTTTGAAGCATGAATGGGGATCATTTCGTAATCCCCTCGTTTCCTGTTGGATTCAATATGACTATCTGCTGCTGCACATTTTTGTTGTATTGTATAAGTATATATTACATGCATTCCTTTAATTAAAGGCACCATTTTTACACAATGTCTGAAAGTGAGAAATGTATATTTTTAAAATGTACAAGAAAGAAGGCAAGCACAAGGCTGCCAAGAACCCAACCAAAGGTTCCCCAAGAGAGATGACATTCATAACCCTGAGCTCAGGCGTCAATGCATTAGATGATGATAAGCCAAGACGAAAGCAGAGGAAGCTAAAATTTCAGTCCATAATGTGAATCATGTGGGAATTTGTCTGATTAGAAAAACGAATTCAGGAGAAATGTTGTCTGAGAGCAGCAGCTTCAATACTTAACTAACAAAACTAACAGTTTGGGTTTAGGCTGGACTCAAGAGGAGGTACTTTCCAGAGTTGGCAAATTGCTAACTAAATACAAATACTAAAATATAATGTTTTTGTGTTACTTACCATTTTTAGAAAAAAAAGTAAAAATCACCAACATCATAATAGATTAGTGTTTGAAATGCTATGCATGTGCTGAACCCGTAGCTAAGATTCTGCATCTTAAGGTCAACACTTTTCAGGGTGTTTATTTTCTGGTTTGAGCAAAGAGAAACTAGAGCTCATTGTTTTCGTTAAGCTCTCAGATCACCTAAGCTACTCTCTCTGCACAGTTGGATTTAAAGATGTTTTTTCCTCCTTTTGCAGCTTGCAGAAATGTCAAAGTTACAATGAAAAGAATCTGTGACTCATAAGCATTTTTCAGTGTGCAGAGAAAAGGAGTTTTGATGATCAATGTGACTCAAATGTCTAATTCATAACAGAACTTTGCTGTGTCTTTACACAGACCAAGAATTTTTGAAATTCTTCATTACTTTCTTTTTGCTCCTGCTGGCTTGAGATACAGCTCCACCGTTAAAATTAAAAGCTGTAATAAGACCCAAAAAAATGATAACTCCTTTATGATCAAGTGCTTCTGCTAAACTTTATCCTTTTAAAAAGACATGCACCACTTTCTTTCCAAGATTTTAAACGTCCAAACATCATTTATTTCAAAACATCTCCTGTCTTTTATCCAACAGGTTCATAACCGGAACCTGCTGTCACTGGACTTTGATCGGATCACCAGGACAGAAAAGGTCTATGATGATCACAGGAAGTTCACTTTGCGGATCCACTATGATCACGCTGGTCGGCCCACTCTGTGGGCTCCAAGCAGCCGTCTCAACGGAGTTAACGTCACTTACTCCTCTGGGGGGCATGTGGCGGGGGTCCAGAGAGGCACCATGTCTGTCCGCATGGAATACGACGTAAACGGCAGAATCACGTCCCAGATATTTGCTGATGGTAAATATTGGAGCTACACTTACCTCGAAAAGGTAAGCACCTTTAAACTTTTAAAGGAAAATAAATGGTTTCAGTATAAAACTGTTATAAATACTGTAGAGAAAGTGTGTGTGCATTGGAAAGTTGACAGAAGATATTAGAGAAGATATATAAATGAACTTGCAATTCTCCTAGCTGGTATCTGCAGCACACGGAAAGATTCTTGCACAAATATCAGCCAAAACATAATTAAAAGTGTCTGGTGCGTTGTAGACATGATTCTTTGTTACCACACTCTGGCAGCAAAGTTCAACCAGAAATAGCTCAGATGAAAAGAACAGCAAGAAATGTCGCCTCCTGCTCTCTAATTAAAGGTATGCTTGTGGAGGAAGAGAATAGAGCTGCTGTTCTCCAGCTTAGACATTTATGATAAGAAACGGCAGCCAGTCACCTTTTTAACAGCCTATCATAAGTTTTTCAGCAACCTGGTGAGACAACCTTGCATATGATTTAAAGGCATCATTTACTGCTTCTAAAATGTGCCTTGCTGAGTTGGGAAATACTCAGTTACTTCATGCTGTTCAGATTGCAAAAGCTCACAGGCAAAAAAAAGAAAAAGCATGTTTATGACACCATGTAAAAAAATCTTAATAGTAGAGGAATAAAAACTCAAGTTTCATGGTTTGAACTTCATCCGAAAATACACAGCGCTACATGTTGAAGCTTTTATTGGGATTGTAAATACAATCATATGTACAGTGGCTTGTTAAATTGCTGAACTTTTTCATATCCTCCTGTTACAAACACAAATGTTAATGTATTTGATTTCACTAGACCACCACAAAGATGTGCATCATCGTAAAGGGGTACGGATGTGAAAACGTCATTTTTGGGTACTCTACTAGAGGCCTGGGAGCTTGAGGGTCCTTCATAGTATCTTAGTTGTTCCTCGGATGGCGGCTCTTCCAAACTGAGACGTGAGATGTTACTCTAGGTATTTGGTGGAGCCACTTCTCCAGTGTGGAGGCCACTGCCCCAAGTCTTCCAATGATCCTGTTCAATAGAGTTGCCTTCATATGGTAGGCTTCTCCTGAGCCCTTCGTAACGCTCTTCTTATTTCTTTTTCTTGATATGTCCATTATTTGGGACAGCCACATCAAGCACAACTTCAGTCCGCTGCTGCTTATCGATGATCACAATGTCTGGTTAGGTGACCATTATCACAGGATCTTAGCTCGGTCATTCTCCACTACCTTGCGAGGTGTTTCCCACTTTGACCTGGGGGTCTCCAGTTCGTACAGCAGGGGTGCTTAAGTTCAGTCCTCAAGAGCTACTATCCTGCAACTTTCAGATGCATCCCTGCTCCAATACACCTGAATTAAATGAATAGCTCGTTACCAGGCATGTTCCGAGCTGATCCCAGTCTGTTGAAGTAAGGATGCATCTAAATGTTCCAGGACAGTGGCTCTCGAGGACTGGACTTGAGCACTCCCGCTTTTCAAATGTTTCTGTACACTATAGTGGCCACTTGGTTAAGATGTCCCATTTATTCCTGTCTTATAATTTGTTTCTTCTCTCTCCTTGCAGTCCATGGTGCTGCTTCTCTACAGTCAGAGGCAGTACATCTTTGAATTTGACAAAAACGATCGATTGTCTTCCGTGACCATGCCCAACGTAGCTCGGCACACCTTGGAGACGTCCCGCTCTATTGGCTACTACAGAAACACTTACCGACCCCCCGAAGGCAACGCATCGGTGCTCCAGGACTACAGTGAGGCCGGGCAGTTGCTGCAGACCACCCACCTGGGAACAGGTCGCAGGGTCATCTACAAGTACGGCAAGCTCTCCAAGCTGCTGGAGATCCTTTATGACACCACACGGATTGGTTTCTCCTACGACGAGATGGCGGGGATGCTGAAGACCGTCAACCTCCAGAGCGAAGGCTTCACCTGCACGATCCGGTACAGACAGATCGGCCCGCTCATCGACAGGCAAATATTTAGGTTCAGCGAGGAAGGCATGGTCAACGCAAGATTCGACTACGTCTATGACAACAGCTTCCGAGTCACCAGCATGCAGGCGGTCATTAACGAAACTCCGCTACCAATCGACTTGTATCGCTATGACGACGTGTCAGGCAAAACAGAACAGTTTGGCAAATTTGGAGTAATTTATTACGACATAAATCAAATTATAACCACTGCAGTGATGACGCACACCAAACACTTTGACGCCTACGGTCGAGTGAAGGAGGTCCAGTATGAGATTTTTCGTTCGCTCATGTACTGGATGATGGTGCAGTATGACAACATGGGGCGTGTGGTGGCCAAAGAGCTCAAAGTGGGACCTTACGCCAACACGACACGCTACACCTATGAGTATGATGCTGACGGTCAGCTCCAGGTGGTCTCCATCAACGACAAGCCCTTGTGGAGGTACAGCTACGACCTGAACGGCAACCTGCACCTCCTCAGCCCTGGAAACAGCGCGCGCCTCACCCCGCTACGCTACGACGTCAGAGACCGCATCACCCGCTTGGGAGATGTGACGTACCGGATGGATGAGGACGGCTTCCTGAAGCAACGAGGGAACGACTACTTTGAGTACAACTCAGCCGGTCTGCTGACGAAGGTGTACAACAAAGCCAGTGGGTGGAGCATCAAGTATCGCTACGATGGCCTGGGCAGGCGAGTTTCCAGCAGAAGCAGCACAGGTCACCACCTGCAGTTCTTCTATGCCGACTTGTCCAGCCCCACTCGGGTCACCCACATGTACAACCACTCCAGCTCTGAGATTGCTTCGCTATACTACGATCTGCAGGGACACCTGTTTGCCATGGAGCTGAGCAGCGGCGATGAGTTTTACGTGGCTTGCGACAACATCGGCACTCCTCTCGCTGTGTTCAGTGGTTCAGGCCTCATGATTAAGCAGATTCTCCACACGGCATTCGGAGAGGTTTACTTGGACACCAATCCCAGCTTCCAGATTATAATTGGCTACCAGGGAGGACTGTATGAGCCTCTTAGCAAACTGGTCCACATGGGCAAACGGGATTACGATGTCCTCGCTGGCCGCTGGACAACACCGGACAGAGAGATCTGGAGTCATCTCAATAACAATCGCATCGTTCCATTCAACCTGTACATGTTTAAGAATAACAACCCACTCAGCAATAATGAGGAGACAAAGTGCTACATGACAGGTAATTCGTCCTCCCATGGTTCACTCAGACTAAAACCGAATGACAAATATGATGAGACAGTTCTATTTTTCTATACACTTACAACATGGGAGGAGACAAGAAATTTACCATTCAAGAAAGTTTTTCATAAATCATGAACAAAAAAAAATAGTTTTCCTGAAGTATAAATGTGTACAAAGAGTAACAACCCAATATTTTTGTGGAATCAGATTTAAAAAATAAAATAAAATAAATTTAATATAAAATACTAAATTCACATTTAGTAGATGTTTAAGAGCTCCCTCGCTGATGTCGGGCTTCAGTGTGTTTATGTGCATCTCCACCTCTGCAAGCGCCCAGCGGCTATCATTTTGAAAATGCTCAAAGGGAGCCGTGCTTTATGGCCGGGCCCTCTCTGCTGTTGAACACTCAGATCCTTCACAGAAATACTCTCTGTTCCTTTGTGTTAGGGGGAGGACAAATGACAGTGAAAGCACCGCAGTGGGGAACAGGAGGGCACAATGGATTCATAGAAATCATAGCCAGGGCTGGTTGCATCAACCTTAGAGCCTGGAAGGGAAACTATGTTAACGATACCCAGTAAATTCTCTGTAGTTAAAGGAATTCTGCAATTATTTTCTTTGTTTTACCTGCATAATATGGATAGGGAATATGGTACTTTTTTTTTCACTCTCATTTCCTCTCCACCGTGTCGAGAGGTAAATTAAGCCCCTTTTTTGTTTAATTGGGATCCAGCCTTCAACTTCTTTTGCTCCAACAAAGTCATTTAACTTCCTTCCAATGAGAGCACCGTTCAGCTTCACAGTCCTCCATAAGGGGCTCTGAATACTAAACAGACCCATAGATATACTGCAGCAGGTCTGCCTCAACTGTGATTGATGGCACTGACATTTAAATTCCATTCACTAAATGACTGTGGTCCTTTCATTGTTCCCAAACAAATTCTTGTTTAAAAAAGCTTTGTTGTGCGCCACAGTGTTGTATTGGCAATCTGTTGCCACCCATGTGCCGTGGCAGTGACTCTGCTGTCAATAACAGGAGCAGGATACAAATACCTGCAACTGAACAGGCTTTTCTCTCCGACATGTTGCTCTCTGATCTTAAAAATGATCGCATTGATAGAACTTTGTAAAAGTATCATTACTTATTTATTTTCTTTTTTACATTTTTCACATTGAGAACAGAAACCTTATTTTTTGTTAGTTTTATTTGATAAACCCAACACTTAAACCCAACAATTACAAATTTGGGATGGGAATAAAAGGTATATATGGTTGTGTTCAGTTTTTGGATTGTTTGTATACCCACTTTTCTATTACCCCAAATAAATTTTAAGAAAGCATAATTGGTAAAAAGAATCCTGTTGTGTATGATGTAATCACAGTTAATTAGAAGATGGCTGTATCTAAACTAGGGATGCAAACAATTAACAGACTTATTATTGTCAATTCATAGTTTATTAGATTAAAATTTGTTCCATTCTATTAATTAATGACATCCTCTTAGATCTACTTTCAGTGTTGTAATGTGGCCGCCATCCAGAAGAAGGCGCCACTGCTCGTTCTTAAGCGGGACCATTTGTAAAAGAAAATATGGCAAAGCCATACCTGAAGGAAAAAGTCCTGTGAGGGACGCACAATGCACTTTATGCAGACAGGTAGACTGCTGAATTTTGAATTGTTTGCATTCGATTTTATTCAGGTACGACAGAATAAAGCGGTCAAAATAAGAAAAACAATACTACTTTTTGATTTTCAGTCGTACATATTTTTAATAAAACACACTGAAGTTTCTGGTTTTGACATGACAGAATCTGAAAAGATTCAGGGGGGAAGTGAGTATTTCAGCAAATAACGTGAAAAGTGGATTGCAGCAGTTCTAACAACCACCGTTTTGGCTGCTGCTTTTAGATGGATTGCATTATCGTGATTGCTCGGAGTTAAATCTTGGAAATGTCACTCGCCTCCCCGCGCATCTCATTAGAGAAATAGTACTGTTGGAGGAACCCACTGAGTGTTCAAAATATCTTTCTGTTGAAGTCTCGGGTGACATGAAATTACAGTCCATAATTAGCTGCAGACGTGCTCAGATGTTGTTTCTGGAATCCAGCTGTGTGTCATTAGTGGGGCATCTGCAGGACTGGACATGAATCACCAACATCGTCTTGAGTGTTCAGGATAGCTCATCCACTCTTACAGACAAATGAAGTGCTCCTCCTGACTGAAGAGCATTTCAAGAAGGCAGCCACTTAACTACAAAATGTCAACTGATCAGATTTAATAAATTAATCTTGTCTGTTCCTCCTTTGTTGTCTTTTTCCAGAAGTTTAACTTTTTTAACCTCTCCTCCACAGATGTGAACAGCTGGCTTGTGACCTTTGGCTTCCAGCTGTATAATGTTATCCCCGGCTATCGTAAACCGAGCACAGAGAGCATGGAGCCCTCCTACGAGTTAGTCCGCACCCAAATCAAGACACAGGAGTGGGACAGCACCAAGGTAGTCACTCATCTATCTCAGCTTTCACCCTAAAGTATTGCCTTGTGCTTTTGTCCCCTTTCCTTTTCACCGTCATTAGCAAATGAGTATGCTCTTTGTTGCCACATTCCCAGAGGAGCTGCTAACTACCAAGCCAAACATGGCCCAGTGAGCCAGGTCTCAGCCCCCTCATCCCCATCTTGGGGAATGGGGTCAGGCTAAACAGTTCTTGTAATTGTCCTGCCATTAGGGAAATTCACTCTCCATTCCCCTCCACCAACGGCCATCGATTTCGTCTCGGTTATACTCTGCCGGCTAAGGTCTGAGAAGTAGTATACAGGCTCTGATTCTCACTTGTATCAGCCCTTTTAGGTAGCCCCCAACTCACTTGAATTATTGAAGAGGCCACTGTTGTTTTCATGGGGTTGGTTACAGCCAGACAAGTGAATGGCACAGGAATGGATTTGTGTTGCATGACACTCCAGCTGTTACCCTAACACAGAGAACTTGTTTTTGAAAAATGTGTACATTGAAAGCTACTGGGTTGATATTTAAAAAAAAAAAAAAAACGTTATACGTGAGCTATTCTAGCTTCCATTTTAAGTTATCAATCCTTAAAATGGAGTTTTAAGTTATCAAAACTTAAAACTCCATATGTTATAAGTTATCAACTTATAATTTACCACTAAAACAAAATTATGCTAAAGCAGAATTTGAGGTAAAACAAATTATGTTGACCCCTCTGTGCCACCTCACTGGTCTGACCAGCCTGAAATGGGTACCAAGTCATTATTTATGTGGTTGTTTTTTGTTATATAATTTAAAGGGCACATGTAATTTTTCCTTCTTTTCCCTTTCAGTTGTGTCCATGCTTGTTGCTTTCCAAGTCTAATGTCGATAACTGAGTAAAAAAGAAAGACCGGAATAAAGTGAACTCAGGACAGTTGAGAGCCAACTGCTTGACCATGATGTCTGAATTTGATTTATTTGTTTCTTATTTTCAGTCTCTTCTGGTTTTCTAGCTCTTGAGTAAGATGCTATTTGCCCTTGAAGTAGACTTGACTCAACTTTCCAAAGCAGATTAAAATGTAACAGGGATTTCTGTATTTCTTGGCACAGACATTTCATATGTCTCATGTGTAGAGCATTACCATAAAGGTAAAAACCACAGCGGTGTCCTCATCTTGCCTGGGCTGCTGTTGGAAGTGTTCCTGTGGAAATCTCCTGGGACTGAGTCATCCGGTGCTAACAACCCACAGAAATCTTTGAACTCACCAAAGTTATCAACCTACAAAGGAGAAGCAACACAGAACTCAAACAACATCCCATCTATTTTCAGTTCAGACGTTTCAAAGTTGTAACAGGCTTTTCGCCTTCTCTGTTGAAATGAAACACTAAAAATGCAAGTCCATATCTTAATATGTTTGGTTTTAGGAAAATTTCCTGTTTCTTTCTATCAGAAAACAGAACATTTATACATCTAAATTAAAAGATTTATCTACAAAATGCAGCTCCTCAATTATTTAGAGACCTAAATAGCTCAAACTGTGTAATCATTAAGGCTTCGAATTGTGAGGTTAGCCTCGTTTTGAAGTTTTCCGTCATGTTTTTGAGGAAGATTCGCCTTCAGCACACCTCTGGATCCATATAATTAGTCCTCATCCTGTTCATGAGCTGTTGTGTGGTATTTTTATCCAGAATCCCTTTTTCTGAAAGGATGCCCTGAGATGGCTAATGCCAGGTTGATCCTCACTGCAAATGGCCAGATAAGCCCAGGAACATATTGGGCCCTTTCAGGAATCAATACAACTTTAAAACTGCATGTTGTACATCTATACCTTGGTATTTGATTGTATTTTATTCAGAAAAAAAAAAGAAGGAAAGAACAGCTCCCGTTCTATCTCTGTCTGCTTAAGCCCCCGTTTTGTGATGCTGCTCGATCCAACGCAGAGATTGAAAAGTGCCGTGAGCAGACGGAGAGATGAGGTCTGCGATGCGCAAGGCTCTATCTCTCATTCAGGGTTTTGCTGGAGGCTCATTGCACCCCCTGCTATGTGACTGATGCGTCTCTTGGAGTTTCCCTGGAGGCTGTTTGAAGTAAAGTGGAGGACTTTGCACTTCGTCCCCTCTCCCTCGGCCCTCAGAACAACTGAACAGGTCACTGCTTGTGAGGACCTCCATAGCACATGTGCCTTTTCGTCTCCTCCGTTTGACATGTGTTCATCCAGGATGTGATGCAGTGTCATGTCAACCGATGGTCAGACGTGCTGCATGCTGCAGAGCGCTCTGCCCCCCACACCAATCCCTCAACCCACAGCCACCCTCTAACCAGAGTCAGAACTGGAAAACTGTCAGGAAGGCTTTGCATGTTACTACTTGGCAGGAACTCCTCAGGATACGCGGAGCCTCGTATGTTGGCTGGTGACTTGAAGGCATTTTTAAAGCCGTTTGGTTGCTGCTTACGTGCACGCAGGCGACTGCCTCGTTGTTTTCTGGCCAGCTTCCATTTCGCATCATCCTCTGGGTTTTTTTTTTTTTTTGTCTTTCTTTTAGAGGAACATCTCTTGTCACGTAATATTAGGACAAAGCATAAACATTGGCTGGAGGGGATGTGATATCTCCTTTGATCCCTTGCAGAATGAGTTGTGCTGCATATTTCAGTTACCAAAAATCTCCTGTTTCAGATTAGGCCCAGCAGTGCTTTTAGAAGACAGCAGTTTCACTAGCTTTTTTTTTTTTTTTTTTTTCAAATTTTTATGATCAGAGAGATTTGCAATCTCTGACAAACACGTCCGCTGTTACCTTGACTAGAGATGTACTGACAGGAACAGAACATGATGGATCTGTTTTCTGGCCATTAAAAAAGCTGTTTCATCAACATTTTGTGAGAAAATACTCATGAGACCCAGCAGTGACATTCAATCAAATATGAATTTTGCATTTTTATTTCAACTTACTCAACAAGAAGGAGGTTTTAAGCAATGCCATACAGATTTTTGTTGGACTTTCTGTAAACTGATGGAAACTGTTCTTGTAAAGTTAGCGAGCAGTAAATATTGTGTGTAAAGTTTTACACTTTATAGTGACTTGCTAGACAATCCATACTGCTACTCCACATTTTTCCATTACAATTACAAACTTGGAATTGAATTTATTAGACTTTAATATGACAGACCAACACAAAGGAAAATTGTGTATTTTTTACAACTTATTTTTCAGAGCAAATTCCAGTAAAATACTATCAAGTTTGAGATTATAATGTGACAAAATGTGAAAAAGTCCAAGTGAGATTCTTTTGTAAAGCAATTTGTTTCTGTTTCATTGATTTCAAACTACTCCTGGTGCTGTTCTCAGCTGGCGCTGCGTGGGCTGAGACTAACCAGTCTTGTCTTTGTTTTGCAGTCTTTGCTGGGCGTTCAGTGCGAAGTTCAAAGGCAGCTCAAAGCTTTCGTCAAGCTGGAACGCTTTGGTCAAATCTACAACGCCAAAAGCGCAGGATGTCCCCAGACAGAGGGGAAGAAGATCTTCGCCTCCGGCGGCTCCATCTTTGGGAAGGGGGTGAAGTTCGCCATCCGAGACGGCCGCATCAGCACCGACATCATCAGCCTGGCCAACGAGGATGGACGCCGCATGGCCGCCGTTCTGAACGACGCGTTCTATCTTGAAAACCTTCACTTCACCATCGCGGGGATGGACACCCACCATTTTGTCAAGCTGGGCTCAGTGGAAGGAGACCTGGCACTCATTGGCATGACGGTTGGCCGGCGCACGCTGGAGAACGGTGTCAACGTCACCGTGTCTCAGGTCAACACCGTGCTGAATGGCAGGACTAGGCGCATAACCGACATCCAGCTGCAGCATGGATCGTTGCTCCTCAACACGCGATACGGCGGCAGCGTAGACGAAGAGAAAGCCCGCATTCTGGAGCTGGCCCGGCAGAGGGCCGTCGGCCAGGCCTGGGCCCGGGAGCGCCAGAGACTCAGAGACGGGGAGGAAGGCTCAAGAACCTGGACTGAGGGAGAGAAGCAGCAGCTTCTGGGCTCAGGGAAGGTGCAAGGCTATGACGGATACTATGTGGTTTCAGTTGACCAGTACCCCGAGCTGGCAGACAGTGTCAACAACATCCACTTCATGAGACAGAGCGAAATGGGCCGAAGGTGACATGAACACGAGGCTGTCGGATAACGGACTCCGATGTAGGAAATGGGACTTCTTGCCAAAGACAGTTGTGTACATGACCACACTTTTTTTTTTTTGACTGTGCCCAACTTGGTTTTTAATATGCTGTAAACAAGATGACAGTTGCAAACAGTTGCACTGCACTGACAGAAGAGTGCCCTTCTCCCTTCTGAGGATTCTTTACCAGTCTTTGCCCTTCAAGTGCGGCTGCTAGAGGATGAAAATCTGTGATGTTTTTTGGCTTATTTTTGTGACTCCATTTCCTCATACCTGTTGGTGATTCTCTTCAAAGGAATCTGAGGGGAGTTTTGGTGATCCTTTGTGTTTCTCCGTCTCTCTCTCTCTCTCTCTCTGCTAACAGACTTTTGCAGATTGTAATTCACAAGCCTGCTCCATTCTGCCTTTTTCTGCGCCTCAGCCAAGGAGATTCCATCTCTTTTAATCACTCCTTTTTTTATACTTGAAGCCCTCATAGCCCCTGTCATCCATTAATAATGAGAGAAATTGCTGTTGGCCGTAATGCCCTTCATCAAAACCACAGCTGAACTTGTCAAAGCACCTTCATTTGTGTGATGTCTCGGAGTTCTACGAGAGGAGGCTTTGTGCTCATTTGTGGTCTTAAGGTTTCTGTGCACCCTGAAATGTGCATGTCGGCCTTTTTTATTAAGTACAAAACCTGCAAAAATGCTTAATGACAGCGCCTTGCAGATGGTAGATCATTACCTGTTGGGCTTTTTCACATTTTCTAAAGTTTCTCTACAAGCATCGGCATATTATTCTGGATTTTATTGGATAAATCAACATGGAGGCCTGTTTTAAACAGAGAAATCTAAAAGGCTTTCATCTCTCTTTAACAAATGAAACCTTAAAAGTCTGTCATACTTTATTTAGCGTCCATTTCTCTTGTACCCCTAAATAAAATCTCCTGCAACCAACTCCACCAGTCTGTATTTTCAGTATAAATTCAGCTGTTATGTGATCTCAGTGGTATGTCAGAGACTGTTTTTGAACAAAGTAACATAAAACAGATGAAATACCTTTCTGATGTGATCTAAATATGAAAAAGCTCAACAGACATGATCATTTCACAGAGCTCTGCAGGCCTAAATTGAATAATTGTGCAATCTCAGTCAATTAGAATATTATTGAAAAGTAAATTAGTTCAAAAAGTGAATCATCTTACATTATTCAGATTCATTAAACAGAGTTATATATATTTAAGTTTGTATTTCTGTTATTTTGTCGAGCTGGCTTTTGTTGTTCCAGACATAGAAATGGTTGTCTGAAAATGTTTTGGGAAATTTATGAAGTATACATTTTTAATGAATTTTTTTTTAATGCAGTACCACCCATAGGCGAAATGCATGCCTATGGGTGGTACTGCATTGTGTTACCATTACAAAATGCATTGTAATGGTAACACCTTTAAAGAGTAATCACTGTTCTGTAAATTCCCAACTCGGTTGGCATGCTAAGAGACACAACAGCGCCACCTTGGCAGGATGTGGGGAACTGAGTGCGCAGGAAGGGGCGGGGCTGAGGGTGAACCAACTCATAACTGCTTGCAGTTCTAGTCTGTAATTTTGGTAATTCTGGTTTTCAGGCTTTCAGAAATTGCAAATGGTTCATTTTTAATTCAGAAGTGTTTTTTTATGGGCATGTTTTATGGGACAGTCATTACCTTCTTTAAGTGACCTTGAGTGTTATGAAAGGCAATTCTAAGTAAATGTATTATTATTATTATTTATTACGCCATTGTTGTTGGCTTAACAGTTATTAATGCTGGCTGTTCATATGACACTCCATACAAACACAAGAAAGTTTAGTGGGAAGAAGTAGATATAAAAGCAACAGTGATTTTAAAGCAAGTCTATTCAAGAATTGCAGGGAAATTTACAAGGCATTCAATGTGAAAGAAAATCTGCTAAAGGTCAGTTTTATCCCTCTTCCTTTGTATACTTTTTATGTGTGACACGTTTTCCTCCTTCTTAATTTTCTCCTAATATGCTTGGAAATAGGTGCATGTGAACACCCAGCTTTATAAGCAAAGGTCTTTAGTGGAAGAATTTTGTTTTGTTTTTTTTAGCTACAAATAATTTTCGTAATTAACTTTTTTTATGATATTCTAATTAACTGAGATGCACCTATAGTAAAAGAAACAAAGATATGATATTGGGTTTTTACTTTTTGTGTTCCTCTTTTCAATAAATTTTGAAAATTCGAAATTTAGGATAGATTTCTTTTTGGTACGTGGTCAGACAACTCAATCATAAAACTACACGAAGAGCCAACCCTGTAAGAAAATACTGTGGAACTATTGTGTGTATTAAAGAACAAAAAGGTATTTTCTGGGACTGGTTTTGAACTATATTTTCATTTTGTTTTATAAATAGCTATATGAATTAACAGTATAACAAATGTGAATTTAAAAATAATGTGAATTATTGTCCCTTTTATTGTTGATTGTTGTACTTGAACAATACTTGGGGAGGTGTTTGAACACATGGAATAAAACAATGAGGAGGGTTTTAGTGAAATCCCTTACTGTGTATTTCATTAGACTCACTGCTTCTTTTTTTTTTCATGAATCTCGATTTCCTTGTGTGAAGCACTGAGGAGTTAAAGTCAGTATTCCACAACACAGCGCCCAATCCGATTAAACTTTGGGTGAAAATGGTTTTAAATAGTGCGAGGCTAGCCAGAAGGTCAAAGAAAGCAGTTAATTCAGTCATACATGCTCCATTAGCATATTGGCTGCAGAGGTAAATGGGCTTTGGATCGTACTGTGGGTCTGATGAAAGATACAAATTGCCTTTGGCCTAAGGGCTGCCCGCAGGTCAGCATAGAAAGTGCTTTTATTCTCCAGGATAGGGCTCCTCTTAGTTGGAGGAAATGCATTTGACCTGCAGGTGTTCTGGTTCTCGTTCACAGACTAAAGGTTGTCTATACACACCAACTTTTGCCACATGGACACTTTTTGGCCCTCGTACATCTGTGACCCCCCACCCCACCCCCTCTCCTATACACACCTTCTCTGTTCATGCCTCTCCCCTGGTGGATACTGCAAAGGACAGTTTACTTGTGCTCATTTAAAAATGTCATGATGTGAAAACTCACAAGGAGACAATTTTGAGAGTTGTGACATTGATTTGACTTCTGGTACCGTTTTGAACTATGCCAAGCCACTTCACAGTCTTGACTGTCATTTTCCGATCAAGCATATAGACTTGTCTGTGTGTCTATAGGTGGTGAGAGCATGATTGAGTGTCTCAATCTGTACAAACGATTAAGCAAATTGGACAAGACTTTTTTTTTTCTTTTTTTTTTTGCTGTTTTTTTATGATGTTGGTTGATTCAGTGGCATTTTGTTCCTGAAAAACAATATGTATGTTCAGCATAATATGAATGAAGGATATTTGCATTGTGGAATATTGCACTGATAATTGTTGCGTCATAAGACTGTATCTTTTTCTAAAAGTTTTTGGACTCATTTTGAGTTTCGGTTTGTTCTCAACACTGTGTTTTTAGCGCTTCTTCTGACTGTGTAAATATGAGGACATCCAAGTAAGCTGTAAATAAAATGCAAATGTAGATACCTCTTAGAGCTACATTGGTGACCCTGTGTAGTCTTAAGGTAGAAAAAAAAATAAAGGGAATATTTTGTGTTTATGTTTTGTGTTGATCCTAAATTATTATTTACCATACACAATATAAGGAAACAAATCCAATTTTACAGGAACTCTAAGAGAAAGAGAGGTGTTCATCCTAATTTAAATTTAATATAGTCCCTTGAATAAGAACTGTTCTCACTTTGTGTTGTGAGCATTTAGCTTCCTTTAAATAATTTTTTCTAGGTAAGTTCTAAAATAAAAATCTGTAAAATATGTTAGATATTGGTATTCTGCTCCCTGAGATAGTACTTTATAGAGCCACTTAAAAATATTGCTGCAAGTTTTTTTTTTCACCACAATGGACATGTGGCTGGCCTATTCCCGATTCAGTAAAACAAAATCAAAAATAAAAACACTTATTTGTGTGTTTTTTGATAGAGCCTGTCTAAAACATGCAATAAACTGAACCACATTGCGACTTAAAACTTTGTTTTTGGTGTTTGCAAAGCAGCCAATCCAGAACCGGCATTTATTTTCCTTGCTGCTGATTGGCCGTACCCACAAGAAAAGAGGTAAGAAACACCGTATCTATGGACCTTACCAAGCTCCGCCCAGAAACGCCCTAGAAAATCCCACGTGGCTGCATGTCTCACAAACAAAGCCTCGCGGA